ATCAAACTCGTTTTTTATGGAAATATATTATACAATAACATAAAATCTAAACTTGGCGACATTATATCGTGGAGATTCACAAAATATATAATATTGACATTATGTACAAGAATTACTCATTAAAAATAGATTCGATAAGTTAGGTCATTGTCGTCAGTTGGTCGCGTGGCAGGCTGCTGTTGCTCGCTCCGTGGGAGAGTCAGCGTTATATGTTTACGAGTACGACAGCGGCCAAAACTTCAACTCTCACGAAAGAGAAAGAATCAACTGTAATTAGTCGAACGAAAATGCCCAAAAACAACTACATATATGTATGTTATTCTTTGTGAGTAGATACATACTTATTAACTTACTTATGTACAGAGACTGGTCTCGTCGACGTTTACGTAGCGGGCTTTTATGATCTAAATATAGATTAACAATATTTAAATGAAGTGTCAATTAAAATTATTGATCGCAGGGAAGTGGCAGACATAGAGAATACTCGTTGGTTTTAGTTGTATTTGTTCTAGCACATAAAACAGGTTTTCGTGAAAGACATATTATTTTTTGCATAGTGGCTATAATCGGAGGATCGGCCGACAAACGCGTTGGTTTAGCGTTACGTAACGCAGGGGACAAACTCAGACGAGCGCGGCTCATCGCACCGCGCCGCGATACCACTGCAGCACGAGTGTTTGAAACGGAGGCAGCTACAAACGCGCACTTATTGAATAACGCGAGCTGAACGCGTCAAAACATAAAAATAGTCTGTAAACAGAGCTGCGTGCCGCGGCGCGTCGGCGCGTGCTGCCCGACCACTGCGGTGCAACAACTAGTATAGTGTGCAGCACAGTGCTTGAGACTTGGTGGCGGTTCCCGGCCGGAGCGCACGTGCGAATGCGATATTAGTTAATTGGGTATTTCACCAAAATGTAGTCCGTATCTTAAATATCACTTATAATTTTTAAATAATATTATATTTCTTCCGTTCCATTCTTTAAAAGTTTCTTCTAATGTAACATGTTTTTCAGATTTCCTCAAGATTTAAAATGCGTAATCTCACTAACCATCACTAAATAATGTAAACACTAATGGGATCTTCGCTCCAGATAATTAATTAAGATTTAAATATTACGTAAACTTCACTCTTCTCTTACGTTCACCACTCAGCACGTGGACTCTCAAGTTTATAGAACACACCCTCTTTCCAAACGTAACATTTTGCGAGTAAAATGGCCATGAGATGCACAGAGTCACAGACGGCCCTACGAAATTATAATGGATTTTTTTTTTGTATTTTCGTGTCCAATTTTTTTTGGGCTAAAAATCTGAAAACTGAAACAAACGCAGAAATGGAACGATCTCAATCGAATCTTGTTTGATACGAGAGTAAAACAATATTATGAAATAGTAAACAAAGTATAAGTTGCAAGCAGCTGCGAGTTGTCCATCACCCGCCTTGAACACTTCAATTTGGATTTGAATGTTTGTACTAAATCATTCCTTTCAGACCTTGGAACAAAGATATTCTTTAATAAATTAGTAGGTATATTTTTATTAATTTCCACCAAATGAATTACTCTCTGCAATTTAGGGGTCCAGCTTTACCTGAAGTTCTTTAATAAAACGAATAGGTGTACGATGAATGAGTGCGCCGGGTCGGGTCGCGGATCGACGGCTTTCACTTTTATGTAGCACCTAGGTCCGCCGCGCCACACTCACAGCACTGACCTCACCCGAGCACGCGTCACTGCCTAAATTATATTATGTATACCTGATTATTGTAACACGAATTGATGACGCATTATATGAGCATTTTCCTTATGCTATCCTTCATGACGCAGCAACAACAACCTGCTAATTTAGTATGTGGAATCTCATGGAAATTATTTAAAACTTTCACCAGTTCAAATCTGTATAGAACGTTTTCAATTAATTGATACTTAGTGATTTACAACAGTAAGTGCATTGAAAGTTGACGGAGTGTACAGCCGCGAAATGTGAGCGCGCAAGGCCGACAACCATCACACATTTGTCGTGTGAGTCGTGTGACACACATACTCTGTGCCACTCAACATGGCAACTACTCTACTCCGCCATTTGGCGCCATCACTCATTCATTAGGTACCTACCTGCACAGATCTTCGTTGCATGAACGCATTCTAAGACCCTACTACAAAATTATTTTTATATTGTACAATAATTTGAATCTTAATACTCGATAACAAATTATAATAATTTTTTTAAAGGTAAATCAGAAAACCATTGTCTTTTGATTTGCCTCATGTTTGAAATCTGATTGATAGTAAATGAAGTTTTCTGTTACTTATTTACTCTCTTATTTACTTACTTTTTTACCATTTGGATGAAAGTATAGAAATTTTTGGACATATTATTATGTGAACAATAATTTGATTTATCAAAGTTATTGCAACACGAAACTGAGCAAGTGAGATAACAATTATAATTATCTTTTTAAAAATAACTCTATAACCACTATAATTTGTAGGAATTCACAATAATTTTCTAAAAATTAGTTTAATCACTGAAATTCAAACATTTTAAACACTACAGCCGTTGTACGTGATTTGTAAAATAATTAATTACTTAATCTGGAAAAAACCTTTATTTTGGCAAAATTTCTAGAAACTTTAAATGTGTCTAACATTCATTAATAATACATGTTATAGACAACACTACAAAACTAGAAATTTTGCTAGCATTCAAGAAATTAATTCTTATATTGATTCTTGTCTATATACTAATATGTATTACAGAAAATATAGAGGAGTGCAGAAAGCTACTTTTTGTTAAATTATGTATAAAAAATATATTAAATCAATAAAAAAACATTACACACACTACCATGTATTTGACACAATACCTATATATATAAATACCTAGTGTTGATAAATACTATATGGCATAGTTTATGACAGCATTGCATATATGGATAATTTTCTAGATAAGTTTTATTTATATATACATTGTATGTATCACAATAAGTCTCATTTATTCCATAAAAACCCAACAAGCTTTATGGATCAAAATCAGGGTTCAAAAAAAACCTTCAGTACCATACAGACTTATCATAAAATATTTAAAATAATTATGCGAACAAACTGCAAACCTACTCTATGAAGTAAAGATTGGCAATTTATACATTAGTTTTTTCAAAACTAAGTTGTAAAGTAGGTTGTCGCATGATAAGGTTGAATTTATACTATGTTTGTGAAATCAACATCATTTTGTGTTGAATGTTTCCTCTAACCACAAACCTTTGAGAATAAACAAATCTTTACACATTTAATTTACATTTATCATCATATATTTGTTTAGTTTGAATTGTCTTGCACAATAAATCCTAGTGTCTTTATCAAACCTTGCTTTTATAAGTTCAAAAAATTCAACAAGCAAATAACTGTACTTATCTGGCTTCGATTGGGTCACTTTTGCTCATCACAATTCTTATTTAAGCTAAAAATTAAACCTTCTATGTGTAGTTGCGGTAAATCTATCAGTACATTAGATCATATCTTTCTGGAATGCGATCTTAATGATGAATGCCCACCACTATATTGTTTACTAACTAACACTAACATCCCGTTCCCAGTTAATATGAACTATCTCTTAACATTCCCTAATCCTAAAGTTGTAAATGCATTAGCTTATTTTATTTCCCGCAATAACATTAAACTGTAAAAATGTTTACAAATTTTTCTTCCGTTCTCATTCATCTCATCTGCTTTCATCTATCTATATCACTGATATTCTATCTACCTGACATTGGCAGAGTCATTCGTCAAAGAAGCAACCCGAGCCATAAAAAAAAAATGTAATGAATTTTTTATTTTATATTGTTTGGAAAAACTTACTTGTTTACTTTAAATAACTTGCCTTAAAAACAAATGCAGTATTTTTTGGTACATCTACAGCTAACTACTACATTTGATTAGTTCAAGTGTAACTTTTACATTTGAATTCAGTGATTTAGAAATTAATCCACAGTTTTAATATTAGCAACCTTTTTTTGCCTAACTATTGCTAGTAGCCTTGAGGGGTCATGCTAGCTTCATCAAACATGTAGCTCAAGGGGCTCAGCCTGGGAGACTTTGCTAAAATCTGCCCAACAAGAGTACTCCTTCATTGAATCTACCGCTGGATCAGAATTATAGGCCACCGAGAAGACACATTTATGTTCCAACACTGAACACACATTTGTGCTTCAAAAATATTAAAGCAGGTTAGTTAATGGAAGATAAGATCTAACAGACGTTCCATTTAATATTACTTTTTGAAACAGTCAAGATATACATTGATGATGATCATTGAAATGTAAAAAATGCTCACTACACTTTTTTCAAATTATAACATTTTCAGGACACAACAATAAGGCAACCAAAAAAGTAAACTATTCAAGAACAAAGCTGCTCAGTAAATACTTACAGAATCATTTCCTGCCGATGCCAACATTTTCTTAATAACATTACAATACAATTTAAAATAGATATGAAATAATTGAGATTATCATTATCAACCATGCTGTGAACTTTAATATCAGTTTGGTATTGTTTGTTTACGCAAGTATCTGATAACAGTATGTTTGTTTATACTTGTCCCAGATCACTATTCCCAAACATCTCATTGGTTTTCTAGTAGATTCTAGTATCTAGTTTTTACTAGATTTCTCTAGAATATTATGATACTTGGTAATTTACAATATAACTAAAAACTTGGACAACATAACTAAAGTCTAAAGGATGCAATTAAAATAACAAATTTGTTTTTAAAACACTAAGAAAAATTGCTGTCACATGTAGCACTATCTATCATAACTATTTTTCGTTTCCTTTTGTTTTGATAAGCTATATAAATATATTATATAGCTGTATAAATGGCACATGTGTCAACATTTTCAATAACTAAAAATACAACAGGTGGGTAGAGTATAAACAAATAGTTTTGTTTACAAACAATACAAGTGCAAATCTGGTAGAGAACAGAAGGTCAGCACTCACCTCTTGGGCAGTAACATGGGCGGGGATCCTTTTCGCTGGAATACGCCGTCGACGAGCACACCGTTTTTACTGTTGCAGGTGAGGTAGAACTCGGGCTGATCGTACATGAGTTCGAGGTGACGACGAGAGATAAAGCTTGAGTGCCCCATGTTGACGTCGACCTGACCACGGCTTGAGTTGCGCCCAATGATGACGCGCTTCTGCCGGATCAGATACTCGAAGTCGCGACCCTCGAGGCGCGCAATCGCAGCGGGCGCAGTTTCCTGGGCCCACTGCACTTTTGATGGCGATGAGGGCGCCGACTTGAGCGACAGGAGCGCCCAAGCATCGCTCTCAGAGCTCCGTGTAAACTGGGCCTGGGCCATGACCGGGCTCTAACGACGCTATCCACACGCGGCTCGCGTGCCGCTCGCGCCTCCACACATCACAATACCGACTACACCCGGATGTCCGGAACGTACCGAACCCGTACTCAACACTTTGAGGTTACTGAGAAACGCACATGCGCAAACTTTCCGTTTGTGCGGTAAACAAGAATTACATAAACCACCACACCACCACGTGATAAGGCTGTATACATATACTGCGTCCAGATCTACAGATCGATACGGTTATAAACGAGGTCGAATCCTTTTCACGCGATATATATCTTTATGTTATTGCACAATTGAATTTTTGCAATTGAACCGAAATTAGATGCAAAAGTAAACACGAGGTGAGAACAAAAATAACCAAAAACGTCAGTGCACCATACGCAGTTTAGGAGTTTACAAGTTTATCGCGCCATCTACACAACAAATCAACAATTTAGTGAACTAAAATTTTCGTTTCACGCAGTACTGGAACCCTTTGGTAAATACTTGAAAGAAATAGCAACCTAAAAATAANCAATTGAACCGAAATTAGATGCAAAAGTAAACACGAGGTGAGAACAAAAATAACCAAAAACGTCAGTGCACCATACGCAGTTTAGGAGTTTACAAGTTTATCGCGCCATCTACACAACAAATCAACAATTTAGTGAACTAAAATTTTCGTTTCACGCAGTACTGGAACCCTTTGGTAAATACTTGAAAGAAATAGCAACCTAAAAATAATCGATATTTATTGAAAAAAGTGATTATTATGAAAAATATATATTTTTTGTTAAGTTTTATGACCTATAATTCATAATGATTAAAGCACTATGTATTTTCAGTCACAAAGCCATTCAGGATTTATTTAATCACTATGAAAATCTGCAGAGGTGTTAAGAGACGGTGAAGGTTTGTACCCTAGAACCAAGGAGCGCGATGATTCGGACACACCTATTAAATCTGTGAAACTGGCTGACTGTGAGATGACTGTTGTTGATTTTTCTATTGAATGTTGCTGTTCAACGTGTGAGATGTGCAATAGTCAACGCTGATAACACTCTGATAGTGATGTGAAGTCTATTCGGTAGGAGCGCCAGATCGATATGGTATCTCATGCGTCGCCTCCTGCATCATAATGATCTCATGACGTTTGGAAAAGAGGAGATCCGGCTGCACGGTACGTTTCACGTTAGTAGAAACGAGTTCCGTGTATTTGTGATCTTTTTACACGCAAAAGACGCGGCTCCTCCTTGTAAAGAATTTCTCAGCGGGTGTGATTCTCAGCCATTTGGAGCTGGAACGGTTTCCGTCCCTCAAGAGGACGGGTAGTCCCCGCCTGATGCAGCAGAAGGGTGTCGCTATATTATGCTGCTCGAGGAGATGGACAAGTTGCTACGATGCATTTTAGCAGCTCGTATATAACGACATTTGATCTAGGTTGAAGCCAATCAATCTATCGGCACAGAAATACGTCTGACTAGAGGACTGCTCAAATGAGGTTACAAGCTTAGTTTCACAACTGTATGTCAGAATAAAAAGGAAATCGGTTATAGTTATTTTGTAATACGAGCTGTGCGTAATGCAGAGACTACTAAAAATTTAAAAGTTTACATTTATCAAAATATGACAACATTACATTTTTAAAGTTTCTTGGAAATTAAATATATTGTTGTATAAAATTATCTAATCTCACACTATGCTACAACCAATACAAAAATATTTTTTTTTTATTTTTTTTATTGCCTTTGTAGGCAGACGAGCATACGGCCCACCTGATGGTGAGTGGTTACCGTCGCCCATGGACTTGAGCAATGCCAAGGGCAGAGCCAAGCCGCTGCCTACCGAATTTCATTAGGCAATTTCAGTGACCGGCTAAAAATATTTGCAGTAAAAAAATGTGGAGCAACACTGTGGAAGATTACTTTTCTTGTTACATTTCAATTGATTTAAAAATAGTTACCTACGTATATATGTATAAACATTTTACTGAATCCGTATAATTTAAAATTCATTGGAAATTTCTTAGCCTGTGGTGATGCGTAGCATCTGTGGACACTGTCATAGATAATTTTATTCTACCATAGACCTATATAGGTCTATGGTAGTACCGTAGGTTTCATACAACAATTTACGGTACTACTACTATGTATCCAGTACATTGTACATACTACCTATATACGTACCATTGTATTTTAATAAACCTACTTATGCTTTGTTTTTAAAAACAGACTGTTGATCATAGGCAATAAACTCAATATGTTTTATTTGTTGACAAATTTTCGAGTACCGGTAAAATGGGGCGATTAGGGACAAATTCCAACTTGATGAACAATTTTAAGGTAGTTGTTGATGTTTAAAATGCTATATCAGGATCAAAATGATTGAGTCTTATGGGTATCTTGTTATCCAATTTAAAGCTATAGTAATTTTTTGGCGGGAACGCGAGGAGTGAAGTTATGTGATTTGTTCTTTGTCTATTTAATGTTTTTTCAGGTTTAAATATGTAATAATGGTGGTTTATTAACTGTTTAATATCTGTGAAAGTGTACAAATGTGGGAAAATGAAACAAAGCCACTGGACGTAACTTCTCGGGATCCTCCAAAAAGTCCACTAAAAAAATCTTAATAAATGACCTCCATTTTACTGAGATTATATTTCATCCCATATCATCTCATTTCATTTCATTTAATTTCATCCCAGCTGATTAATGTCTCAAATTAATCATCTTTATTTCATTTCATTTCACTTCATATATCATTTTTCATAAAAATACGAATATAAATTAAAATGAAACATGACTTAAAGGTCTGTTATCAGATCATAAAATCCCTAAAAAAAAAAACTTTAAAAGTAATAAAATACAAAAATAATAAGAAAAGGAAAAACAACCTGTTTTAAATTATCAAATATCTACGAAAATAAAAAATATTTTGGTTGTAGTAATTAATGGGCCTGCTATAAATTTTAAGGGCTGCTTTCACAAAAGTGAATTAAATCCGAATAATACAACTCAAGTAAGTAATAATTTTTATCAGGGGCTGTACTTACTTTACCGTCAGGTGTACCGTATATTCGGCTACTTTCGAAGACGAAGAAAAAAAGATGGCTATTGTAAATGCTGTACTAAAATGGTTGTATTTATATAAATAAGTTGCATGGCTATAAAATATATTGAAATAGATAACATTACTCTTCATTCTCTGACTGTCTTACAATATGTATTTGCACACAACTTGTGCCCACGTGCTTTAATGTTAATATTTTTTATATATAAAAACTACATAATATTAAAACTACTTTGATGGTTTGATCTTGCATTCTCTATTACTATATTATTTCTCATGTTTCAAATACTTTAAACAATATCGAATTTGAGCTATATCAATTTTGATAAATTATCTTCCCATCTTTTCATTTGCATTCCTCAATGCTTTTTCCATAATCAGGATATTACTTGCCAATACCCAGCCCATTTTTTTCATAATGATGCTTATTAAATGATGATGATGATGGATGCTACAGTATTTGAGGGGTTTTCAATTAATAGTGATAATGCAATACATTATCTGTGGAAAGAATAAAATAAATACCGGTAGGCATAGCCTAGACATAATTTTATATAAAAAGTTATCAATTCTCTTTTCTTTTTTAAAAATATAATTTATTTGGTTGAGTTGTGTTGTAATGTTTTTTAAAAATGTATAAAATAAATACCGGTAGGCATAGCCTAGACATAATTTTATATAAAAAGTTATCAATTCTCTTTTCTTTTTTAAAAATATAATTTATTTGGTTGAGTTGTGTTGTAATGTTTTTTAAAAATGTATAAAATTACAAGCTTGTGTGGTAATAAAATATCTCTGCCTGAAAATTTTTACTACAAAGCTGGTAAATCAAGTTTTGAGAGCAACATTAGGGGTAGGCAGCAGCTTGGCTCTGCCCCTGGCATTGTGGAAGCCCACGAGCCATGGTAATCACTCACCATCAGGTGGGCCGTATGTTTGTCTGCCTACAAGGGCAATAAAAAAAGTAATTAAAAAAACATGCATTCTAGTAAACTTAATAGGAGTAGCAACAAGTATAAAGGTAAGTATAAATTTAATGTGGAATATTGGCGATTGTTTTGTGTATTGATATTGTGCAGGCCGGCCATCGTGAAGAACATTGGAAACGCCTATGTCCCAGCAGTGGACGTCTGAGGGCTGATGATGATGTTGTGTAATTTACCCATCCTTGTTGACAATACCTTTACTAACATTCACGCAATAACAAGATTAATTTATATTTTCTACTTTCCAGTTAGTTATGAAAATTAATTACGTCAGGCTTTTTTTTGTATCATTTAATAGATAACTTTGTTGTGAAAGAGGAATAAACACCTTCATACATGTTGTCTAATTGTTTTAGTGGGTTTTTTGTGTTACATTTGTATACTAATAACCCATATTGGGACATGCAGTTAAAGTCTCAATAGTGTTTTTACATGTGCTGTGCCACCCTCTAAAGTGGATAATGGTGTGTATTGTTTGTAAAGACCGTAAACATATTACAATCTGAAAATTTTTTAATAAAAAAAAAATGAATTAGAATTAACTATATTCAAAGAATAATTAATGGCTAGCTGAACTACTAAAAATACTAGGATCCTTGAACATTTTGAATCTGCTTTCCACCAAATTAAAGTTAGTCATCAAGTTGTGTCAAACTAGCAACTCCACGGTTGATCCAGTGCTTCTCTGGTGTGTCTGAAGGCAGTGTTATGTACATGACAAAGTTGCTAGAGTGCCCGGTAGTGGCCAACACTCCCTTCCTCTCGCTAGTTTTGTAGATGGGACAAAAGTAACAGGGTGGAGGATTGAAGTTAGATATTAGGGCTGGTTGAAACCAAATTATTGGGATTGTGTCAAACAGTATTTTTGGAAACGACTCGTCCAGCTGCATTGTGTCTCGGTTCCAGCGAGCTCCCTCCAGGAATAGACCCTGTAAATATTTAAAATTCATAGGTACCATATTAAAATAGATGCATTAAGTAATCTGTTTAACTCTTTCTCTCACACACACATGCACATTGTGTACAACTCACCCACACAAACATACTATGTGCCTGGTCCTTCTTGTCCATTTGAGCTCCTTGCTGCTTGTAATATTATTAACAATAACCGATGATAAATATGACATTAAATAGGTGTAATTAAGAAATGGATATTGGAGTCAAATGAAATATTGTTTTTAATAAAATGATTAACTGTTTTGGTCACCTTGCAATAAACTCCATAGACAGGTTCTTCATCAACGTCGGCCTCTATTCGAGTGATTGTAAACTCGAAATGCACCTGATCGATGGGAATTTTATTATGCCGTGAGTAGTTCTGAAGCACGCCCGTCAGAAATGACTGTGTAAAGTAGAAACCCGATAGCCAGAACACCACCGGAGGACCCTCATCGATCCAGTCTTGGAGAAATTTTAATCTGAAAAAGAATAAAAATACACTAATACATTTAAATATTTTGGTGAGCTAAGAGTTGCCGGTTACAGGTGACATGAGCGCGGAGCGAGTGCTGGACGCGCAGACGTGGCCCGCGGAGGCCGAGGCGGCCATCGGCGACATCCGGCGCCACGTCCGAGCCGCCAGCGTCTCCTCGCGCCTGCGCAGCCACCACCGCATCTACATCAACCTCACCACGCTCGAGGACCACACCTACTGCATCGAGATGTCGGCGGCCGGCTTCCGCGTCGTCGGCCGGAAGTACGACGACGTCAGCCTCACCGGGCACGTCAACTATGAGACTCCCTACGCGCTGCTCAATAACATCAGCCAGAAATACAAGGAGTCGTTCGGCGACGAACTGATGACCAAACTATTGCATCTCGCCGGTGCCCCAGAGGGCCGATGAGTACATTCTGGGACGAACAACGTGGCTTGCTCTCAGAACTCTTACGATACTCTAAATCAGAATCTTCGTAGAGCATTGTGATGACTCTGTACCTATTGGGAATGTTAGTGAACGGTATCACAATTAATTGCTCAGGACAATGTATTCCTTTTGTTTTTTTGTATTTGTGTCAGTATTGCAGCGCGGAGAGATGCTTGCTCCGTAGATTTTAGGCGAGTTTAGTCTTATTTGTAGAAGTATTTAAATTTAATGTCAAACTAGATATTAAATTGTAACAACTCTGCAAACTGATAAGTTAATAATGCAGCGCTCGACCAGCGCTCGTCCTATACGCGGCGCTCACGTCGAGGCCACGGTCAACTGCACGAAATAAATTGATAATCCGTTTGTAGAGTTGAATGTAAAGAAAATATATTGTTAGTACAACCGCACCAGATATATGTAGTACAAAACTTATAAATCGGCTTATAACAAATATAATATGTCATGTACTGATATAATTTATAAAATAAACCTGTAATAAACCTAGTTTGATTTTATTCAGAAGTGCATGAGAAGAGATGAGTTTCATCACAAAGTCGTTCGACTCGTTACGGTTCGTAGGGTATCGAGGAGGTACGCACCTGGCCAGCAGGTCGGCCACGTACGATCCCAGCGGCTTCATGGAGGGGTAGGACTTGGCCATCCACACGGAGGGCACCACGCCCTTCGCGAAGGCGGCGTCGCACAGCTCCAGTTCGGCAGACAAGATGGCCAGCCCCAAGGCCGCCTGGTGGACGCCTTCCAGCGTGCTGCGGACCACACTCAGCAGCCGGTTGTACCGGATCACCTCCTGCACCGACACAGTACATTGTCGCGGTAGGTTGTGTAGGCCTGCGCCCCCGGGCGTGCGGCGGGCGGGGGGAGCACGTCACCTGTTTGAGCACGGTGTTCATGCTGTTGAGGTACTGCACGGGGTAGGCGGCGGCCACGGCGGCCACGTGGTAGGGCGGCGGCAGGCGCGCCAGCAGCTCCTGCGTGAGGTCGGCCGTGCCGCGCCCCTCCCCCGCGCCGCCGCCGCACACCACCGACGTCTGCGTCACCAGGCACCCGAACAGCAGCTGCACANCGGGCGGGGGCGTCACCTGTTTGAGCACGGTGTTCATGCTGTTGAGGTACTGCACGGGGTAGGCGGCGGCCACGGCGGCCACGTGGTAGGGCGGCGGCAGGCGCGCCAGCAGCTCCTGCGTGAGGTCGGCCGTGCCGCGCCCCTCCCCCGCGCCGCCGCCGCACACCACCGACGTCTGCGTCACCAGGCACCCGAACAGCAGCTGCACACGACATCACATTTATTTTTGATATTTTTATTTGTTATTCGGCCGCGTGTTAAGTAGTTATTGGAGCCCAAAGACATCAACGACAACTATTTAAATTTCGTTGCCCGAGACATGAGTTCTATATCAGTTCCGTAATATAACGGCTGTCCCGCCCTTGACGGCAGACATAGGCAGGGTGATGGTAGGTACCCGTGCGGAGAGGTATTAGATTACAAAGGTATTGATAAGCGACCGCAGCGGCCTCGTTGTTGTCCTTGGTGATGTCCGCGTTGTCGTGCAGCCCGAACACCTCCGGTCGCGCGGCGGAGGGCAGCGCGCGCACGTGCGCCAGCACCGCGCCGTACTCCATGCTCGCCGGCATGCGGTACTCGCCGCTCGGGGAAAACGAATAGCTGTAACATCCTTCGGTTTAATTCTTAACTCAGATTAATCATTAACTGACCGCCTGAGCAATATCTAGGTTAAGGTGACCCCGGTCCTGTTGTATCCCATAGACACCGTTCCGTTCGCCTGCCACTGCACTATGAGCGATAGCTGCGCAAATTGCATCCTGATGATCGCACACCCAAGGTTGTGCCTACCCATTCAGTAGGTACTGGTGATTGACTCGATCGGTACTCTACTTTCAAAGGCAACTGTATCGAACTCACTCTGGATTAGAAGTGACCTCTTCATTGTAGAATATGGTCAGCAGAGAGAGTATGAGGCGCCGGTCCTTGTCGTCCGTAACGCGGCCGCCGTAGTTGCACTCGCCCGTCAGGTAGTGCAGCGCCTCCAAGGGAGTCTCGGAGTACTCCGTGAGGAACATCTGTACGAAGTAGGTACTATATGAAACAATAACAACGACGAGAGTTTGATCTCGTTTGACCTCGTGGGCTCCAGTAACCACTCAGCAGCGGACGGACCGTGAGCTAGGTCACCCATCTTAAAGTCGAGTGTAGAGATGGAAGCGAGCAGGGGCACCTGGAGCTGCATGATGCAGATGCGCAGGTCGCTCTCGTTGAACTCGTACTGGATGTTCCAGCCGAGCGGCCCGAAGGCGCGGCGCTCCTGCACCACGCCGTGGAAGAAGCACAGCGCGAACAGCAGCCGGCGCCACTCCTCCGTGCGCGGGCACGAGATGTAGAACTCCGGCTCGCTGATGGGGTCCGACGTGTACGAGCGGTAGATGTTGTTCTTTAGCCCTTTCGGAGCTTCGTTTGTCATTTTTACACCTGCAACGTAACTCTGCTGCGTCCGCCCTCAGACCGACACACAGCGCGCGTTCTAACCGTGACGTGTCGTCGTTATGTTAGCAACACTCGCACGTGTGTAGGGAGGAGGAACAGTGTACCCCAACGATGGAGCTGCAGATTGCGTTCCTAAAGAGACCGAGAACGGTAAGTACGGCATTGTTTACAGAACTTGTAAAGTTACGATGGCGCCTTTTGTTAGACGGATGCTCCTAAAATAAATATAAACATACTTGTTTAATGATTATTTAAATTCCACATAGAAATGTGGCGTGTATCGCGGTGTGTGGTGAGGACTGAACTAGAAGGATTTGGACGGTTTGTTACCGTTCTGCAGCACTGTGACAGGGAAGGCCCTGCTGGGGTAGGAGGTGAGCCAGCAGCGGAAGGAGGGGTGCGTATCCTGCGGCGTGACCACCTCTGCACACACGCGCTCCAGCTCGCCCATCCACGAGTCCATCACGTGACAGTTCTGCAGCACCACCCATCCACCCACCGTCAGCGCTGACTTTATCATACTTGTTGCTATCGGTCCCTGGACAAAACAAACCGTATCTTTCTTATTGCATAAGCGGATGAACGGGCTCATGTTCCACCGGGTGTCAAGTGCTTAACGGTACCCATGAACATCATTATCGTCATTAGCTCCAAGACGTCCACTGCTAGACATGCCTCCCCTTAGGTGTACCACAGTAACATCAAAGTTTCGGTCTTAGTGGCCATCTATTCCTGGAGCAATGTGTCCTGCCACTGTCACTTCATCTCGCAATCCTTCGGCTTATGTCGGTTGTCTTGATTCTTCTGAGAATATCCTCATTCCTGATTCAATCCCTGTTTGGCGACAGACTCCAGTGGTCGTCTGCCAGTCGAACGTGTCCTACCACCGGTTTCAATTGTATTAGGTACCTCCCGTTCTTCGCCCCTCAGGAGTCAACAGTAGGGTATCGGTAAGCCTGCGGAGGTGGGAAGTATCAATTCCCAAAAGTATCGTCATAGAAAAACGTGTAAGTGCAGTTCTGACCTGTCCTTGGCCGAGTGAAATAGTCTCGAAGCTGACCACCTTCTTCTCCGTGGCATATTTGACGAGGCCGGACATGGGGTCCGAGCCGGGGGACAGAATGAAGATGAGCGGCGAGCAGCAGTTGCTGTCGTTGTAAGACTTGTCGAGGTCGAAGGGCGGCGGCTCGATGTACTCTCGGCCCATCTCCTCCGTCACGTACTGCTGCACCAGCGGGATCAGCTTGTCCGGTCGGATGCATCTGGTCACGTCATATCATCATTCTAAACTATAAATAGCTATTATATATAATATAACAACACCTTATTTTCCAATGCCCTATACTTATGGGTAGACGAGCGCACGGCCCGTCTGGTTTTAAGTAGACATCGGCTTAGATAGCCCGTCAGAGGCGGTATCTTATATATTACTATAAATTAGGTAAATATTTTCTACAAACATCAAAAATACAATTGTACAATTGTTACAATGAAGAGTTTGGAACAAAACTGATGGCCCGACTAATACCTAACTAATATACTCTGAACAACAAAAGCTATAAACTTGCAATCGTAGTGAATAAACAACGCGCCAACACTGTAAACACATAGTTACTGTTATGTTTTAATATGAGCAGAAAAAGAAAATATTTGAAGTATATTATTAAGATATTAGGACGAACATTTCAATAAAATTACCTTAAAATGATTAGTTTAGGGATCCCTTTAATCTTGTCATAAGGAGACGGGAACGGACTTTCGTGTGGAGCTGAGAGGTCGTAGAAGTCCTTCCATTCTTTCAGCTTATTTTCAAAATTTTCCTTAAAACCACGCAGCCTGTCACAAAATATATAATTAAATTCAGCCATATTGAGTTCAGCCGATGCTGCCGATACTTGGACTTACCCGTTGAGATTACTGCACCTCACAATCTCGGACCAACACTTCTCAGAGAGCCAGGCCGGGGCCGGATTCTCATACGGATTCTCCAAAGCGACTCCTCCGGTCAGCAGAAATGCTACTAAATCATCATCAATGACACCCTACAAAAAAAAAAACGTGCACAGGCGGGGGACGACGCGAGTTCGTGCCGCCTCTGTATAGCCATCGTGTCACATAACTACAACTATATAGTTTATGATTAGATATTTCTCCGTTGAATCTGGTAGCCGCCCACTAAACCGTCCGTAGACGGGCGGTCCAGGTTCACCTTCCTCGCTGGGACGAGCCCACGGCCAAGACCATATGTCTCTAAGTGGGTGCTGACATTGGGTGGGTTCATAAACAGAGTCTTGAGCTCTTTCGTGGATCTTGACAATAAATAAATAAACAAAGTTACTTACTAACTTCTTTGAATTTATATTTTTGTATTGTATAGTGCCTGTTCTCCTTGTAAAACATAAACAAAACTATATTCATAAAATAATAAAATAACCCCTTTTTTAAACATATATTATCCGCAACACGCTTCGTCAGATAATAGAAACAGATAACTCTGTGCACGTTTGTATCAGCAACATGCTTCGTCAAATGCCTTGTAAAATGACTGTGAGAACCGGACAGACGGACAGACCGATCGGGTCGGGTAAGGGTTCTGTGTTGCGCCTACCGTCGCCGGCCAAGGAACTTTATTTAAAGCGTGTTAGTGAATTTGCTGCTCCAGCGCCGCGACTTCGTCCTCCTTACTACGCCGACAGTATTCAAGTCAAGATTAAAACTACGGTACATATAAGAGTGGTACCTTGGCTCTGAGGATCCCGAGCGTGAGCACAAGCGAGAATATGAGTTTGTCTTTCTCGAAGAGGCTGCGGCAGACGTTCTCGTAGATGCTTCTAGTGAAGTACGCGTTGAGACTCTCTAATCTTTCGTCCAGATTCACACATTTCGGGGAGTTGACTATCGCTTGGTTGTACAGGTTTATGAACCTAAAATATCCGCAGACGGTAAGCATTGAAGTGTTCTTCGGGAAGACGATCAGTGGGCTGCTAAGTTGCCCGGATAGCTGCGTACGTTTTGAAGTCGTCGTGGCCTAAAGGATAAGACATCCGGTGCATTCGTATCTTGCCGGTGTTCGGATCCCGCCGGCAGGTACCAAATTTTCTAATGAAATACGTAGGTACTTAACAAATACCTACTATTGACTTCCACGGTAAAGGAATAACATCGTGTACTAAAAATCAAACCCGCAAAGTTATAATTTAAGTAATCACTGGTGGTAGGACTTGTGAGTCCGCACGGGTAGGTACTATCATCCTGCCCATTTCTGTCGTGAAGCAGTAGGTAATGCGTTTCGGTTTGAAGAGTGGGGCAGCCGTTGTACTGTAAAAACAGACCTCAGAACTCATATCTCAAAGTAGGTAGCGGCATTTACGTTGTAGATGTCTATGGGCTCCGGTAACCACTTAATATCAGGTGGGCCATGAACTCGTCCACCCACCTAAGCAATATTGTATTGAGCATTCGGTATTTGTATATAGTTAGTGTCGTAAGAGTGTGGGAATAGTTAGCGTAGTAGAGGGTAGTAACAGTAGGTACCAGTTGAGCGAGTACTGGTACATGGGGTCGATGTTGGCGAGGTCGGAGATGCAGAAGAAGAGCACGGAGCTGTGTCGCGACACGGGCACGTACAGCAGTCGCGCCGCGTCGATGTCGCGCTCCGTGACGCCGGCCGCCGCCTGCTTCGCTTCGATCTCCAGCGACAACACCTTCGACGACGACAGGATCTGGTTCGCGGACTCGTCCTCCAGGATGTTGCCCGCCGACGACAGCACCTGCACGCCACATTCTCACCGCATTCATCTATAACTTCCAACCGGAATACCAGCTCACAGTACCTTTTGTTACTTCTCACCCGAGTGGTCCGTACTGGAAGCAGAGGCACTTAGAAAATTTGTACGTGTGAGTGCTGGATACTTTTACAATATTCCGATAGGCGTTAGTTACATTTACTTTTAAAAAAAAAAGGAAAGGGATGCACGCTTCAAGTAAGTCCCAAACGACACCGTATATTTTTTTTTTCTCTCCTACTTATTCTGATAGCCTTGAGAGGCTATTTCAGCTTTGCCTTGACGTGTAGGTGACTCACGGGGCTCAAACCGGAAGTGTTGCTAACACGCCCTAGCAAGAGCAGTGCTTCGCAGAATCTACCACTGGATCGGAAATAGTTATGTAGGTACCTAGGTGTGTACAGAATTAAAAAAAAGTGAATATGTCCTATGTCACCTCTAATATCTTATCTTCGATTTCTTTGAGAGTCCTTTTGTTCGTGGCTCCTTCAACAATGAGTTGATTCTTTTTCAGCTCTAGTTCGGGTCGATCTTGCGCCACCACGATCCCCAGCAGCTGATCCTGTAGTCCTTGCGGAGTTATCATGAAGTTTAAGAGGGTCACCTGTTTACGAAACAAAACAAATTAGGAGAGCTCGTGACTTACAGAGAACTTATGTTTAATTAATGAAGAAGGCATGCTACTAACTTTGACAGCAATTTCGGGCAAATAATGGGGGTTGCTCAGCCTCGTCGTGATGTAGAAGCGGAAGTCGTAGTTGTACTCCAATACGTTGTCGCCCAGCTTCAAACAATCCATACCGCCAGATCTGTGAATAGTGGACCCGATAGTTGGAGTCAGCTCTATTCCTTCCTTTCCCTCTTTCTTGTCAGGGGTGAATCTTGGTGATACTTAGACCCAGCGAAACGGTTTCCGCCGTCAGCCCGCCGGTCACTACCTAACTTGAACCAGAGTGTCACTACTAATCTCCGCCCTGGGAAGCTGTCCCGTCAACCGGTGTAAAATCCTGTCGTGTGGTTGTCGTGCCGGAGTGGTCGGTGACCAGAGGGGTCCCAGCGATCGTAGGCAGGGTGGATTGGGGGCTCTTCAAGAAACAATAAAAATGCGGCACCTGTAGACGTTCCTCAGCAGCACTGGCTCCAGCACGGCGTCGAGTTTGTCGCGCACGTTCTCCAGGATGACGGGCAGACCCAGCTGGATGGCGCTCTCCAGCACGCGCACGTACCCCGCGTCGGTCAGCTTAATCACTTTCAACTGATTTTCGCGCTCCATGTTCTTTATCCATTTGCTTGCTTGTTCTTATTTAATTAAAGAATTATTTAGAATTTAATTATAGGTAGGTACATGTTAAATTATAGATTTTACTTCCAATTTAACGAGTATCTGCTTTTTTCTTGCCATTGCTAGTATTAATGAAACAGCGACACGGCTATGGCGCTTGTTACGAGCACACCTTTAGGCCACGATGACTTCAAAATGACAACTCGGGAATAATATCTCGAAGCAGGGTCGGTTGGCAGAGCACGTTCCATTAGCAGTAACTGAACAACAGTGCAGTGAAGGGAGTCGAAGTCAAGTGCGAACAGGGACGCGCTCACCTTGCGGATCAATCATGAGCGGCCAGCGCCGCGACCTCTCGACGATGATGCCGTTCTCGATGGAGAAGGCGTCGACGGGGAGCCCGGCGATGTTCCAGGCGCGGATCACGACCGGCTCTCCCAGGGTCGATATCAGAGAAAACGAATCCGAACACGGGATGTCTGTACAACATGGGCTGCGCTATAATTTCCTGATGCGCATCTATTAACTTTATTAGGTACATATAAAAAGTATTAGTGAAGGCTTACTGAGTTCTTTCGCTCTGGCGTTCCAAACTTGTATAATTTCTCTTCGATAGTTGACGCTGTACGGACCAAGGTATGCTATAAAACCAGCAGACAGCAGCACATCACCTGTATTCAATAATAGTTCCATATAAACAAATCTAATAGGATCTTAATTAAAGTTTGCAAATGCACCATAAGTAATGGTTGAGGTTTGCTAAATGGGTTTCGTCTGTTCGTTTCTGCTCGCGCACCACATCCACGCAGCAGTGGAGCATGGATGTCGCCAATTGAAATATATATTCGGAAGTTGAGTGCAGGTAAATTAACCAATAATGTTGGAGAGCAACTCCTGCAACTGGCGCGCGAGCTCGGTCCAGCGCGCCTTCTCGCCGCCCAGGCCGCCGATGAGCTGCTCGGCGCGACACAGCTTCGTGGAGCACAACTCTATCTCGTCTTCCAAGCCTTTTTTCTTGCGTGTCATCTCCGCAAATTCGTCGTTCAATGCCTAAAATCAATAGATACAATATGCACCTAGTAGTATAAAGCCGGTTCTCAGAATGTGAATCCCTGAAAGCAACAGACCTGCAACTTGTCGAGCACTCCTTGTAGTTGGGCTCTTTTGTCGTTCAAGGTGTTCATTTGGGCTTGCAGTTCCGCTTCCGCTTCAGCCAGCGCAGCCTTCTTAGGAGCTACAACCTAAACATTTATTTACTTTTTTTTTAAATTGTATTTGACGATAAATAGAGACTGAGTCGTCTGTTATTATGGATTCGGTATTGATACCTTGATGACCCGATCGTAAACGTCCATAGCCCTGACCCACCGACAGAGCCCTTCGCAAGCTGACGACACCTTGGCTATGACGGCAGGATCAAACTCACGGTCCGGTATGTACCTGCAATATAATGAGTACACAATGAACATGGAACATAATAACCAATCATCCACTTACTAGTAGGTATGTCTAGTCATATTCAGTATTAACTTGTCTCTGATTTTTTTCATTACTGTTGTCGGAATGTTGTCTTTATCGTAATTCTTTAAACTTTCTAAGAACTTCATGTCACCCAGCATCTTCTGTGATGGACCCCAGAAATCTTCGTATGGTTTTCCTGTAACAACAATTACCACAGATATAAATGAAAACTAATTTGTCATGTATCACGTGGTTCAATGTTTCATAGGTACCATTAGCATCCATTTTCCTATCTCCCTTGATTCCCTTCATGACACAGACGGCCTCCATGACCAGTTTGACTCCGGCAGGCGGGTTCTTCATACTCTTCACCAGTGTGATGTCGGCAGGTTTGAGAGTATTGAGAGCGTTCAAGGCAGCTTCGAGCGCAGGCACGGCTTCAGCCAAATCTGACTCACAGTCGTCCTTGATGGCCTGTGCTGCTGCAGCGGCTTCGTTGGCCAGGGCTTCGTCTGCCCCTACAATCTGTTCATACACAATGCTATCATTCCCCTCGACTTCATCCTTGTGTACGTATATTGCGTTATGAGACATGCATTAAAAGGAAAAATAACCTCTTTTTGTTTTTCAACAACAACCGTGTCCTGTTCTATTTTAATCATGAGTTTCTCAGTCTTGTCTGATGTTTCCACCAAAAGCGGTTGTAAGTTGATTAGGTTTTGCTGCATCACTGCGACTTGGCTGGCTGCGAAGTCCAATTGTTCCAATCCAGTCTCGTATCTAACAGCACATCAGAACATGAGCTATGTACATCGAAGATACTTTAATGTGAAGCACTGACATACTTGACTTTACCTAGTTCGGGACTTTATGATCTGGTCGACCTTCATAGCGTATAAATTTTGGAAAGATTTGATCAGTTCCAAGTAGCTCGTCGGCGTGACATACACTTTACGCTTTTGTTCAGAGTAAAACCTGGAAACCATTGAGATTAGTCCGTATATAGTGAAGCTGCGCTCGCAGCTCCGTCGCTATGGGTAAAGGGAGCAGCGGGTGACCTGTCGCTGAGCTGCACGACGCTCGTGTGGAAGAGCTGGCACATGGTGACGCAGGCGGCGCGCAGCTCCTCCTCGTCCACGCTCGGCATGCGCGACACGAACATGCACGCCACGCGCTCCAGCGCCTCCGGGGGCCACGCCGTGAACCTGTACCGCCAGACCACATATTGTATAGGTTGTTTCCTGCCGCCAGCTGACTATCTCCGAGTGTGTTACGACACCAGACAATTATTACAAATCGTAGTAGTTTTAGTAGTTGAGTAAAACGCTAGCATTAATGTAAGATGAAATTATCAATAAGTTCACATTTAGCTCGCTCCACACAACACATAACCGAAATAGTTCCAATTCTGAAAAACTCATATTTGTTCTCAATTAAAGTAAGTAATAAATTCTATATTAAAAATATGTATAGCATATTTCGATGGAACTTTATTTTACGACTTAGACAAGAGGATACCTGTCGCTCGGTAAATGCAGCTCAGTTGCTGAGATCACGAGCGGCATGATCACGTGTGCGGCTGTGACCACATCTGCGTGTACCTACCAGTCGATGGTGCAGCAGTTGATGAGCGACGGGAACATGCGCAGACGGTTGCGGAAGGAGTCTCCGATGGGCGACATGGCCATCACGATGCGCAGGTTCGCCTTGACGCGCTCCACGTAGTATCCGAACATTGCCAGTGGACTCGTCTCTATTTTTTTACCCTGGGAGGAGCGTAAAGTTAGAGGGTTGTTTAGTTGCTGGATTACGAGTATAGATATGTCTCGAGAGTTGACGTGGCGTGTCGTTGACAAATGACTGGACGTGCTGGAGTACACTCACAGCTTCCCTGACGGCGGCCTGCATTTTGTCCAGGATCTCGACCTTCTCGTCCATGCCGTACAGGTTGGGGATGTCCCCGGTGTTGAGCAGCATGTTGATGTCTTCCACCATACCCTCGTACATTATCTGTATACGGTAGTTACAGCATACACAATACACTTCTGTTATTCGAATGGCCATAATTACGAACACCAAAACCTGTACGGAGTACTTGCTGTATGGAGATAATCACAATCAACGTCTGTACATTCTCTCCACGGAACACTTACCTACAACTATCGCGAATAAATTAATTTCGATAATTAGGAAAGAAAAAAGAAACATGTGTGCAATTCACACGTGGTAGAGGTGAAACCTTCAAAAGTGAAAATACACGTTAAGTAAGATTTTGTCATTAGTAAATAATAGTAAATTATCTTTTACTACTTAACTACTTTTACTACTTTTACTCATACTAATGAGGCAGCGCCCTCTGTGATTGATATTTTAACTTCATGTATAATCCTAAATTAAAATTCATTACAAGAGGTTTCATATGCACGTTAGTATTAAAAAATCTCATAGATGGCGCTTTATTAAAAACACTACACTGAGAACGTCTAATGTGTTCTATCTCATTCTGTCGGCGGCTGAATCCTATACATTTATGTATTTGTGTCTCTATGGACTTATTTTTTCGTTTCATCGAGTTTGAAATCACAACGATTCTAAAGAAGTTTCACTTCAAAAACAATAAAATCGTGATTTAATGAGTAATAACAGCATGTAAACCGAAATAAGTAAGTGTTTCGGGCGCTGCGGCGGGAGCGAGGAGTACCTGGTTGTCGGCGAAGAGAAAGACGAGCGGGCGCCCGAGCAGGCCGGCCTTCATCAGCAGCTTGCGGACGTCGTCGCGCCACTCGCTCACACCGTACACTTTCGATATTTCTATCTAAAAGTGACATTTTCATATCTTATACTATGCCTCTCAAGGCTACCAGTATAGGTGGTAACAAAAACACGTGTGGCACTCGGGGACTGCCGCGGTAAAGCTATTGCATTACATTTTTATCAACTTATGCAATTACAATTAGACAATAATAATTGAATATCAAAACAATAATAAAATAAGACCACGCTATATTTATAAACATTAACAAAAGCAAAACATTAACTGCCCCCTACACACTCATAAGCTAGACCGCGCGAGAGAGAGATGGGCAGACTTTTCATGATGCGCATGCTGTGCGACGACACGCCGCGCGCTTATTCACAAACACTACACAGTGTGAATGTGTTGAACACGAGCTACATGGTAGGCGGAGTGGGGGTGTTAGGTTTATTTTCGTTACGGAATTTTTTGATTCGGTCACCGCGCTCAAAGCCCGCAATAAAAGCTATGCAATAGCTTAAAAACATATATAACTTGATGCATCTACCAAGCGGGCAAGAAATGGACACCATGAGCGGACTCCGTATTTAGGTACATTTTATATTTCGTGAATAAACATTCAACACGAGAAAAAATAGTCCCCATCCCTACCTCGCCGAGCTACAATGCAGTCTACGGTCCAGGGTTAGAGAGGTAATTGGTATACCAGAGCACTTGAGGCTTTGACTCATGTCTCGAGGGGCGCGCTGGCTGACAAACAAAATCCAAAAGTATGGAATATGAATATATGTATAAGTATGAAGGTTACTTGGATAACGTTCATCTCCAGGATACTGGCGGCTAACTTAACGGCGCTGCTTCTGCCGCTGCCGCCCACGCCGACCAGGAGCAAGTTCCCTGCACGTGCAACAACCCACGGAAAGTGTGATTGGAACCAACTAAATAAATACCCATCGTTTGACTGTTCTTAATGTTTTTGTATATGGACCCGATGCCTTACGATAGCTCTATTAAGCTTACGACAGCTGGGTACAGCTTTTGAATATTGAATGAAGTACAGTACCGTTGTCCTGCAGCAGCACCCTGGCGCAGCGCGAGATGTGGTCCAGCGCGTAACGGAACATCACCAGCGACATCGGAGACGATGACACCACGTTGTACTCCTCTAGGTAGTACTCCATCTTCACGGCCATGTCTTCTAAGTCAGTCACCTTACAGATTACATAACTTGAATGAGCCGCCCCGTACGTATGTCGAGCGAGTATCCACTGGAGCTCGGTGGCTCTGTACTGCACCGACACTCGCCATTCATAAATGCACTTCACCGTACATGCGGTACGTACGATACGCAAGGTTGAGTAGTTTAAAGTGCACTATCCACTGGAGCGCAGCCCAATCGAATGAATGTCGGTGATCACTGATAAACACAGTGAGCACGGTTCATTTCGTGTTAACTGGGGATCAGCGTCCATATACATACATATTATTTAAGTAAATGCCGTCCAGCCTGAGACATGAGACTATTTACGTTTCGCACATTTCAAGGTGATCCACAAGTCGGACGACGGCATGAAGGGCGCGCCCTACTACCAGTCGACTTAGGAACGGAGTTGAAGAGAAGATACAGCTTCGCTTAATAATTTTAAAGGAAATGCACATCATATAGCTTCGTATTGGGTTTGAACAGCAACACTATATACAACCATCGCCAGTGAAACGGTATATCAAACTTCACATTTTCGAAAGTTATTCGTAGGTGGTACCACCTGGTACCACACCGCCTACAAACTAATTTTCTACATAATCTATTTATTTAAGGTGATGAAACTGTATGATTACACGCTGTGACGTAAACTCTCATTTCAACGCAGTAGGAACCGGGACTATAGCCGACTAGTCATGACGCTGAACTGAACTGCATCGCTACACGAGTTAAATACCTGGTCATAAATCTTGGGGTCGGCATCGGGCTCCATGTAGTTTCCAAAGAAGATATTAGCGGCATGCTTGTTGGCGAGCTTCTCTCCCTCGGGCACGTAGCCGAGCTCCGCCATGACCTGGTCCATGTGCACGCGGTAGTGCCCGTACACCGCCTTGTACACCACCTCAAACAACTTCTGTCTGCAAGTCGCCATCGTCATCGCGTCATGCGTGTGCCGCCATATTTTGTCCAATTATATTAGATATTTTTTAAACCGTGCAGTAAAATCTAATAGTCCTAGTAACTCTGTGCGCAGGCGACTTCGCCGCCCAGCTGTCCGTGTGTGAACCAGGCAGAGGCACTACGTATTTATATAAAATGTAGAAATAGGTGCTACGTCTGAACCGAACCAATATTACTAGTTTTAAGGAATTAAATCATTAGAAGTGTGATTGGGTAATCACACATATGAGAGATGCACATGAACAAGTACCGTAATGAAAGGTCTCACGGCTCGTCAAGGGTTGATTCACTTGTGACGGCCGTAAGCGCTACATCACGTGGCTAGCCGGAACTCGTACCTGTCAGTGTCATCGACAAGCCGGTCGTAGAAGACGCGGTAGGTCTCGTGTATCCACAGCACGACTAGTTTATTGAGGTCCTTCATGTGAGTGGAAGGAACCAGCAGTATGCCCTTGATGACGCGTGCGAAATCCCGCAAGTTGAACAAGTAGTGGCACTTGCTCGGCGTCGGTAGAAACTGAACCGTCGCCGCCTTGTACACCTCCATCGTCGCGGACACCACGCTCTGGTGGGAAACATACACGCGATATTGCAGCTGGTACAACGCAGCTCGATGGCTATCATCATGATTACGATAAAATAATTGACCTTGCTCTGTCTCATGAGGGACTCGACGAATCCCTTGGAGAGGTGCCAGTCCATGATGGTGCCAAATATCTTGTTGAGCGTGTTGTCTTCGAAAGAATCGAGCGTGATGAGCAGCATGTGGCGCGTCAGACGAGATGAGATCAGGTTCGAGCCGCCGCCCGGGGGCAACATCGCAGACACCAACAACTAATAAGTAGCTCTTCGATAACACCAAAATTAGAAAACGATTTTTTTTTATTGCTGAGATGGTAGGACGAACTCACGGCCTACCTGGTGTTAAGTGGTTACTGGAGCCCGTAGATATCTACAACGAAAATGCCGCCACCCACTTTGTGGTATGAGTTCTAAGGTCTTAGTACAACGGCTGCTCCACCCTTCAAACCGAAACGCATTACTGCTTCACGGCAGAAAATATGCAGGCAGAAAATAGCAACTTCGAGCTCATGTATTAAGGCAGGTTGCCCATTCTCGTTGTTATGTCTATGAGCTGTATCAGATGAGATCGTTCATCAATGCAATAAAGAATTAAAAAATGTGTTAAAAATGAATTTTATACTGTCAATCATAACATAACATAAAAGTTTGAAACTGAGGGTCTCTGACTACGTGCCTCAAGATAGATGTACTCGCCGGAAACGTACCACATCGACCACTTCTTGGCGCACCATCTCCTTGAGGTCGTACCAGTGTCCGTGGTCGATCCACTCCCGCAGCAACTCCAGCGGGGGCTGCGCGCCGTACTGCTCCTTCTGGGGCATGCTCAGGTCGTCCACGAACAACACGCACTACAACCAGCTCTACGTTTTAATCACCTACTTTATTATTCTATCATCCGACTAGCTGTGCTCGCGAATTCGTCCGCGTGGACTGTGTGAAGATTCCAAATTGTCTCTAGTTTCACCAAAACAGGTGGGTGAGCATGGGCTCAGACAGGAGGGATGGGGTTTCTTAACAGTTGCCCGAAGGCATCCGGAGGGCTCCTTTAAATTAATTTGCGTAATTACTAGTAATAGAGGGGCTCTTGTGAACCCGCACGGGCAGATAGCAACACCCTGCTTATTTTTGCCGTGAAGCAGTGACGCGTTCTGGGTTGAAACGTGTGGCAGCCATTGTACTATAAAACTGAGACATACAACTCACGTCTCAACCATACCTGATCCTGCGAACCAAAAGCTTAATAGTCACCGTCGCCCTAAACACGTCATTTCGTATCCTCCCGATCCACTAACGGCTTTTAGAAATCCAACGTGTCACCTGTCGACGACGCCTAACTGGTGCGCAAGCCAGCTCCGAGACTCGAAAATAATCAAGTAGAGTTAAATATTCGAGTTATATATTATATTATACTCTCTTGGGTTTTCACCAGTCGGAGATGTTATCAAAACTAAATGTACTGTAACGTCATCGTGTTGCTGTCCACATGCCGCATATATGGTTGACTTCATCTAGTCAGTCGGTTGGCTATCGGGCGATGGAGCGCGCAAATGGAAAACACGAACATAAAGCATTAACTGTCTAAAGCGGACGATCTACGAGATACCGGATGGATACTTAATAACGATATTACCTTTTTGCCCATAGATGGACCGAACACACCTTTGCGACGCCGGTCGACCTTAGACATGATTATATCTTGCGTCTGTAAAGAGTTCAGGGTTATTATTCCGTTAAAATGTTAAAATTAACCAAAAGGCTATAATTCTACCACGAAGTGATCCGTTGCGATTTCAAGGAATGGACAGCCTTTATGAACAGAGACTTCGGCTTCACCTGGCGCAGGGTCTGCGTCGCACGCGCGTGCAGCGCCACTCGATGCCGGGGGCGCCGGCCTCGACACTTTCAATGAACTTGTTACATTTGTATCTATTCCAGTGTAACCGCGCGCGTAAGCGTATAGTAATAGTGGGTGATAGGGTAATGATTGCACACGAGCACTACACGGGCTAAAGACACCTTTGCTCAAGTCTCAAGTGTGATAGCATACAAGTGGTGACATCCATGGGCGCCGGTAGCCTTTTAACACCAATGTGGTCGTGAACTCATGCATCCCTGTATAGCAACAAAAACATATGTATAAAATTTCATTGGCATTCATTTTTTTAAATTTATTGTAAATCTAATGCAGAAAGGTATTCGTAGAGTATTATTACCTGGTTCGCAGTCGTTCGAGCGGAGAAGTTGATGGTGTTCGTGATATACTTCTCCTTAGGTAGCGACAAGAGGAAGTTGAGAACCAAAGAGGACTTCCCAGTACCGGTAGGGCCGACCAGCAAGATTGGGATCTTAGACTTGACCATCTTCGACACGAAGAATCGCAAGCACGCGTTCTCATTTGTTAGGATTATCAAATCATTCACCTGGCATTAGGAGTTTGTTAATGTATGTTATGGTGACATGTAGCAGTGGGAGTAGTTGAAGTTTATTGATGCTACCTTTGCGGTAGGAGACAGAGGGAGCTCCTTCTCGAGCTCCATCCAGGGTATCCACGTTCCGTTGTTTCTCTTGTCGTACACGTAGTCGAACACTGTGTCTTTGTCTTGGAACAGCTGGTTCTTCGTCAGTTTAAATGATTTCGGTTTCGGGAAAGCGGCGTTGTTTCCGTCCAGAAGTTTTCGGAAGAAGACATCGAATGACTTCCGACTTTCTCCTGAAAATGTAAATGAATGAACCTACACTGCAGCGTTGAGATGGTGGAACGGGAGATTCAAATGTTAAAATAAATATTGAACTGTTACCGTTGATAGTAGCACAGAGTCCCCAGACCAACGCGAACACGAAGGTGCACTGCAGCCACACTGTACTGAACTGAGCCTCTCCTTCCAGTAGACAGGTGAACAGTCGGGTGAATGACTGGAGGCAGCCAAGAAAGAAGTTATACAATATTATTGTGGTATTTCTAGTGTTGTTCTGTATGTCAGTAGATTCTCCTTAGCTTTAGGTAATCGATGTGTGATCTCACATGGAATTGGTGTATGTCTCCCACGTTTACGAAGTGTCGACAGCGCTGCGAGAGGAAGTCCAGCACAGGAGGCAGCAGCCACTCCACCAGCTCCTGGATCAGATCGAACTGCTCCGGAATCAGCCGTTTGCTCAGTTGCGTGTTGTAAGATGACAAGAAGGCGCGCCATCCTGCACATAGGCGCATTTCTTGTATGGCAAATAGTTTAAGTGTTTAGAGGCCGCCCACTGTCTGTTCACTAGAGCACACAGACAGCACAGAGCAGACGCCAGCACCTGCGCGTCTGCTTTGGATCATCAAATCAATATCTTGACATACCGGCTGTGTGACTCTTCAAAAAGTAATCAAGTCTAGTCTTACTCTACTAAGAATCTTTTATAGCTTACAGATTCATTCTTTACCTAGTTGTTCTGGTTCCATGTAGATCATGCCGCAGCGAGAAACGGTCGCCGGAGAAGCGAACTCCAGGTCCGCCGCCTCGAATATCAGATTCATTTTATTTGTCATCTGAAATGTGAATGGATGCGTTATTTTCCCCGTAGGTGTGAGGTTTTCATTATGAGAACTAAGGAAAACGGGCGAAAGAAAAGTACTGGCAATTCTAATAATACCTGGCAGAAACTTATGGAAGTTGGAAGTTATGGAACTTATGGAAGGCGAGTTCTAGGATTTGTACAAAAAACTGAACGTAACGAGAGATTTAATGGTGGATATCAAAAAGCCACAAAATGAGATAAATAAGGCATACGGATTTATGCAACAGAGCTACACTCGACGACGAAGAGGAGAATATAGGAAACGAAGAAGAAAAAACACCTTCTACATATACTCTATTAAACTATTTCGAATAAAAATATTCAATTATTTGAGACGAAATGAGGATCTGACCTTCCCTCTGCCCTTCTTCGCTCAGCGACATAAGGTATAGCTGATGACGACGGACGACGCGATGGTACTGCCGACATCGTGATACTCAGGCAACTCAGAGCGCATAATTGGGTAGCGGCCGAAATCGACAGGATGATGGAGCTAAGCTGTGCGGGGTTAAAATATTATGCGGAATAAAGTTCTGCGGTTAGATGACCTGTATGATCTCTCCGCTCATGAGACAGAGCTTCTTGTTGTCGTCGAGCACGGTGTTCATGTTCTCGATCCAGACCGCGTCCACCGGACCATCGAACAGGATCCACTTGCGGTCGCGCGTCAACGATGTCGCGTACTCACGGAACGCTATCGCTAACACCCCGTCCGACCTTCAACATGCCAATAGTGCAATAATCAATTATAATTCTATTGGTGGAAGATTGGAAGTATCTTATTATCCCTATGCATGATAGAAATATCAGTATGTTTATCTATTTTCACTGCCTCACCATTCGTGCGATGCAGGATCGAAGCAGCCGTACAGTTGTCCCATGGTGATAGCCTTTGGGTTGATGATGCGGTAGATTGCACCAAATTCCTTATGTCTCGGAGGCGGCTTCATGAGTTGGAGCGCGCGAAGGGAATCGGCCAAGCTCTGGTAGGCTTGTGTCTTGCCGCCCATGGGAGGGCCCACGATCATGAATCCATGTCGCACCAGCATCATCTCGTATATCTAAGCGTGATACGATAACAGTTACAATACTCTTCCGACATTTGAGTGCAACACAACTGCTATATGTATGAGGGATCATCTAGATCTTACTTGTATAATTTTCTCCAGATACCAGTCCGTCGGCTGCAGGTTCCGTTTGTCAAGTTCTTTGTTGATGCAACTGAGGAGTTCGTTTCGGTCCGGCTGCGGAATCTCCACGCCAGGGAACAAATCTGAATAGATTCCCGCGAACAAAGGCACGTCCTGCCAACCGACAATACAATGCTTAGGTTAATACGAGTCTGTATGAAGTTGAGGCGTAGTGGAACATTTCTGCCGACTGGTTCGCGACGCTACTTAGTACGGATCATGCACGAACTTGGGATAGAAACTTGGGCATGTTCACGTCGATGATAGCGCGCAACACGAGTCGTGCTTCCTCCTGCTCCGGATAGTTCTTCTTGAGCGTCCCGGAGGCGAGCAGCACCGACTTCACCGCCCGCATGCCGTAGTCGTAGTGGTTCTGCGAGGACAACTGCTCCGAGCACAATTTATATGCCTGCACTATCTTACGTGCTAGTCTGTGGGAATTCAAAGCAGATTGTGAAGCCACATGTGCATGATCCTAATTTTAAGTAGATGAGTAATGGTAAAGAGTGAGTCCTTACGGTCCGGCGTTGACGAATCCGTTCGAGTAAAGAGTGATCTCACCGATCATGGCGTAGTCAGGCACCATCATAGCGACCGTTCTGAACAATACCTTGAGGTTGTCCGGTAGCTCGGTACGTCCGGCATATCTACATACGTTTCACATTTATTACATTGTGTCTTATGACATTTTATATTCTCTGAACTGAATACAGTAATGAAAGCTTTCTGACTATCTTACCCAGGATTCATTGTGATGAAAACCGAGCAAGTGGGGTTTAGACTGATCTCGGTGCCTTCGAAGATGAATCGTTTCTCACGGCGCAGTATGGCGAGCTGTATGGAGAGGATCTGCTGGGCGACCACCGACAACACTTCTAGTTCGATGCGGTTGAACTCGTCGAAGCACGCCCATGCACCGGACTGAGCCAAGCCCTATCACAAATATGCAGTATAAATAAAGATAAATAATTTCTAAATCCAACTATGAAATAATAGTCTGACACAAACCTTGAAGAATTTTCCGAGCGCTTTATAATCTAGTCCGTCGGAACAATTAAACACGACGCACTTCTTAGCCACGGCTTTGGCTAAGTCTTTAGTGGTTTCAGTCTTGCCAGTGCCCGCTGGACCTTCAGGAGCACCGCCTAAATTCAATTTCAAGGCACTCATGAGGGTCCTAAAAATAACATTTAGCCACTTTACTAACTTTACAATTTAATGTTTGGGTCGAATGCAAGTTGGCGATCGGCGGCGCAGACCTGAAGCAGCGGTCGGTGAGCGGCGTGGCGACCAGGCGGCCGGTGTTGCCGAGGTACTCGAAGCCGTACTCCACGTCCGTGGTGATCATCGCGCACGTCATGCGGTCCCCACGCGCGTAGTACCGCAGCTGCGATATCCAGTTGAAGTCCGACGTGTTGCTGACGCGCCGACTGACCATCTCTTCTAATATCGAACGTCCTGGAACGTACGACAATACGTCGAGTAATACCTACGTACAATGACACGTTTGTCTTTAGTTTCATTTTGCTTCTTCTTTTCAATTTTGAAGTAATCGAACGCGAATAATATGTTATCCTGTAATATTGAGGAATCGTATTATCACCACGTACCGTGGACATCTATGACGATGAGAGCTTCGACAGTGATGCGGTTCCCAGGTTCTAGATCGCCTTGAACCAAGAACACCAGCCCTGTGATCTGCTTAGTGCTGAGCTCCACCAACTCTGGCAGACTGTTCGCTTGTATCGCTTCAATAGCCTATCGGGTTTATTGCGCAATTAGTAAAGAGTGACGTTAGATCCATAGAACGTTCTGCTGCAATGTAGTTGTCTCACCGCGGCGGTGTACTGCACGCAGGAGCCGGACTGCACTATCTGTCCGGGCCAGCTCAGCACCCACTCCTCGCGCACCGCCGTGCTGTATGCCGCGATGGCCTCGGCTGCCACGTCTCTGAGGCTCACGACCATCTGATGCTCCAGCTGCTGCAGCCAGCGCTCCACCATGCCCTGTCAACTCGTATTCATACAACTGATGTTTGATTCTTCCACTGTTATTGCTAGTAGTCAGCGACCTGGTATACTTGCCTTAGCATCCGCCGGTTGAATAGTTGAAGACAATTTGACCACTTCGCCTTCTGCAGAGGCCATTCCAATGATTTCTCTGGCTGCATTAAATTCTAACGTGTAAATGCCTTCGAAACATTTCTTCAGGTGAGGCTGTACCCTCATCGGATCTTTGGTTTCGGAGAGGATCTCTAACAACTCGTCGTTGGACAAGAAGAAAAATCTAAAAGTGTAATAATCAATGAAACTAACTACCCTATTGCCATGCGGGAAGTAGGGAAATAAACGTTTGCTAATCATTGGACGTACCGCGGGAAGAACAATCTCTTCTTTTCCAAATAATCATTGAGACCTCTCTGAATATCCTCTAATAAGCAGTTGTTGTACTTCAGCTTTTTCAGCAGTGCGGGGTAGTCTGTCGCCGGGAGGACCATGGGCTCCTTCTGTGTGGCCGCCATTATGGTACGCCACTCCTTGTCCACGTCGCGGAAATTGCGAGCCTCGGTCGGCATTTGACGCATTATATCCTCTGATGAAAATATAGGCTCCAGATACATCCAAGTCGCTTGACACTATAATGTGGTGAGCATATTATTGTCTAGTCTCCTACATGTAATACTACACAACAATTTCAAGAACGCGTATAGATACCTGCAACCATTGATCCAGGATGTCTTGCATGCTGATGAGCTTCTCTTCCCAGGACACCATGTCCGCTTCAAACGCTTTCACATAAGGTGAGCCACGCATCGTTTGCGATTTCAAGATGTGGTCATCTAATTGCTGTTGTATGTCATCTAAGCCAGTTAGTATGCCGACTCCAGTGTCCCTACAAGTTTCATGTTGTTATGTGAGAGTTATGTAAAATGTCTTTAAATCGCTTCAGTTAAATGTACGTAACACAAGTACCTGTAGGGCACCACTTCGAACTTTACTCCGACCCATTCATCTTTCATCTTAGTGAGCGCTTTCTCGAGCGCATATTCTTTGGATGCATACTGTTCTATTTCCTCGAGTTGAGTTGCGAATACGTGTACTCCTTGTTCCACCATGTCAGCCAATGTTGTTTCTGGGTCATGGATCACCTCTATCCCCACTAGTTCGCTGATGCGGGCCCAGTGACGATCCCGCATTCCCTGAACAAACCCATTATTGAGTGTAATCAATCGCACTACGTGTCCGGTCTCCGCACTAGCGAGACCAGTGCACTTAGATAGACATCGAACTCACCTTGTTGCAGATTGCGCAGAGGACAGGCAACAATACTTTGAACTTCTCGAGCTTGTTCCGCACCATGTCCGCGATCCTCTTCGCTCCGGGGTATTCAAACAACTGTTTGCCGAGTTTATATAGTAACTTCCACCAAGCTTCCACATCCTCCGATATCGTTTCCGCGTCCAGCCCGAGGAAAGGACCGTGATACCTACACAAGTCATACTTCCGCATTGACATCGCAGAACACATACATGTAAGATTATTGTCTTAGCGATTAGGTTACCATCTCTCGTATCCTTCGTAGAAGTCGTACGCAGTGTGCCAGAGTTTGTGGAAGGGTTCGATGCCCGCCAGCATCGTCTGCAGACTGTAGTACACCGACACGTCCTGCTCCAGCAGCTGCTCCTCGTTTATGATGTCGTCCGCTTCGTGCTTGTCTTCCTGTAACACGACATCGCGTGCGGTTGAATGCTACCGCGGAACACGCTCGGTACTGCTTCGTGTGCATAGACCCTAGTTTAAATGATTTACCATTAGATTATTGAATATCTCGTCGACCTTTCCGACGACCTCTCGGAGCAAGTCCACGTTGAGCAACGGAGGGTCGAATCTGCGGAACACCTCCAAATCCTTTTCATGTTTTTTGAGTTGTTCTTCAAATATAGCTTTTCTGCTCCTCAGTTTGTCTTCGGCCATGGTTTTTTTCGTATTGAGAGTTTTAAGCGTCAAGTCTATGGTCTCGTCCATGTCGAGCGGCCACAGAAACACACGGGTGTTTAAATTTACATCTTCAACTGAAATAGACAAATTTTGTGAATATTATAATCAAAGCTTTTTTTTTTTCGCATTCAGTAGTAGCGTAAGCCCCGTCTCACAGTATGTGATCACTGTAGCTTATGGATGTCAGGAATGGGAGGCTAGAGGCACAAATAAGTTACAGCCTAATGCTAAGGACTCCTTTCAAACCTCGTTTGAAGAAGAACACGTCATATTGCACAGGAAATAATGTTGAGAGAAGTTCATCCCAGAGCCGGTGGTATGTACGTGGTAAAATGAACGATGGCTTCGTGTAGTGTGGATGTGGTTAAACAAAGATGAACACGGCTCAAGGATCGTGCGCGTGCTACCTCAACTGGCACTTTGGACCCAGAGGTGGGAGCAGCACTCCACGCGCTGGCGGTACGCTGCTTCGCACACGAACGGGACCAGGCTGGAACTATCAGTGTTGTCAAAAATAGATCGTTCTTGTAAAAACACATCCGTACAGTGCAGATGCGCGTGCTGCATCAAGAACAGCACATATTCAGCCGTGGTGCGTGCCTTCTCGCGCAAGTCGAACATGGCGCAGTCGCGGCAGTCCTGGATGTAGCCAATCAGCTCCACCAGCTGCGCTGTCGTCTCCGGGCTCTCCGACGCGCGCGCTGCCATCTCCTCGTACACGTTGCAGATGCTGAATAATATTAATCATTAAACAGTCTCAAACAAAACATTAATGAGTAACAAAACAATAGTGTAATAAAAATCATTTATTGCCAAGGACGATCAGCTCACGACCGTCGACATCTCAACCTGAAGACCGCTACCTACCAGGAGACTTAAAGTCGTAGTAACAGCTACATTAAAATACGAGCAGTAATACCTCTAACGGTAGTAGCTCCCAGTGCTGAACGTCTACCCCGACATCAACCCACCACCAGGGTTGAGTTCGTGTTCACTCAGTAGGTACCTAAGCTTGTTTTGTTCTCAGACTTTGAGCTCAAAATGAAACGAACTCTCGATTCCATTTTCTGTTGACGGCGATAAAGTGGTCAACGATGTGACGTCGCAGGCCGTCCACGGCGTCCCACATGCAGTCGTTGACGGGGGCGCAGTCCAGCATCACCATGTTGAGAGGGATGTCACGGCGCAGGAACAGGATCTCATCGCGGAGCTCCTCGTACATGTAGATGCGAGCCGAGAAATCCTAAAAACCAAGATACTATTATCTTATCATCTTAGAGCAGTCTTAAAGTGAGATGCGCGTATCTGTCTCCGGGCTCCTTGACTCCTCTTCATTATCGCCCGTCCGGAGTAGTGGCATCTTCATAGTTGATACGAGGCTGTCTGAGTACCACATACATAGCACCTTCAAAAACATATTTATTTTGTTATTTGGAATAGCCGCAAACCAAGCCTTCGCACACACATGTCCACACTATACAGATCACAGATTCTGGGTCATTCATCTTACGTTTGTACATACAGTTCATTTTTTTAAACGTATTTGTCCGCTAATGTTTGAATTTCAATTTCTCTGAATTCGTTTCTCATAAATATCCCCAGAAATTAATAAACAACAAACAGGAGAAAATATGTTGAGCGAAAGTAATTTGATCTCTCCCATCTGACAATAACATCTGACAATAATACGGGCCAGTTTTGATTGGGAGCGTGTGCAGTAGTGTGCACGGCTCTACACGCTGCGAGACCGGCTCCGGCGGCGCGGCTCGCTCCAGCACGTCGCGTCGGTCGAGTGATGAATGCGGATAGTTAATTGTGGGTACTGACTTTCAAATAAGGCGGTGGCTCTTGTGCGAAAAACTGCTGTAACTCTTGAGCGGCGCGGCCGTCGAGGATGTAGTGGTAGGGCTGGTAGCTGGCGAGGAAGCTGACGGGGCCCGGCCGGTTCGCGGCGAAGTGGTGCAGGGAGCGGCCCACCACCTGCTGCATGTAGCTCTCGTCCGGGTACACCGCCATCAGGTAGGGGTTCGGACGCGAGGAGCCTGCTCAACAGCGTTATCTCAACTACTACCACACTACTGTAAGCAATTCAAATCCAGTTGGGTTATCAGACCGACCTGGATACAAGATGGTGTCGAGGCTGGGCAGCTGATGGTTCACGCTGATGATACTGTGGAACCATTTGACGATCATAACCCTCATCTGATCCAGGGTCGGCTCGAAGGTGATGTTCGTGGTGCCCGGATGACCTACGACCTTCAGCAATCGGTATTAAATTAATTTAGATCGTGTACACAACGGAGATCAATCAGACGTGCAGACACGCGGTGACGGTACCTTGATCCGGACGAGAGGACGCTTGATGCACATGTAGTCGCGGTACTCGCCGCTGAAACTGTTCCCTTCCTGCGAAACATTACAGCCAATATTACTGCCCAATACTAATTATTCAATGAAAGAAAAAACCTATAATATATAAACTAACCACTAAAAAACAATAATACCTACATAAACTAGGATATAAGAGAGGTTGACTGTGAGGGAAGGTGAAGGTGAGATAGTCTCACGTATGGACCATATTCGTCACCACACGGGAAAATCAAATTAGCGGTAAAAACCCGGTTAAATACTTAGGTATCTGTTCTACATAAAAAAAACCGGTATCAATTGATAACCTTTTGGAAGTCGGTTATTAATAGGGTTATTTCTGACTATAATACGAACGAAACCCCAGGCAAACTGTCATAAAATTACTAATACATTTTTAAATCCCAAATTGAACAAAGTGAATTTAATTATAAAAAAGGTAAAACATGAGTGATCCATTTAACTTTACCCTAAGTGTACGATGCGCAGACGTTCCCCCACTCTTTTGTCGAGAGCTCGACTCGTGCCGATTACTATAATCTCTAAGCCGAATTACTACATAGTATAAAACAAAGTCGCTTTCTCTGTCCCTATATCTGTCTGTCCCTATGTATGCTTAAATCTTTGAAACTACGCAACGGATTTTGATGCGTTTTTTTTAATAGATAGAGTGATTGAAGAGGAATGTTTATATGTATAATAACATCCATTAAATAGTGGAGAAATTAATAATAAATTACAGTTTCCGAAGCGAAGCGAGGGCGAGTTGCTAGTTTTTAATAAAATACATCACATTCCCGTACGAAGTTTCAAGGCGATTTCATAAATTACACTTCGAAATAACCAAAAGCTCCATTGCCCAATCCCTTTTTAATGCAAAATTAGAAAGTAAAATAACTAGATCTAACAAACGTACTTAAATATATCTGACATTTTCTAATAGATGGCGCTAGTAGTAACATTGTGGTTTTTGGTCCAGTTAGATTAGTTCAGCAGTTTTTAAAAATTTCTTAATAATTTGATAAATGCTAAAAATTTATTGAGACTTTCGTGGTTATTTTTACTAAAATTAACGGGTTCTTAACAGGATTTCTAGTTTTATTGAGTTCCCGACATTTAATTGAGTGGGCGCCCGTGCCGTTGCAAGTGCGCAACGCACACTCCATCGGCGGTGGAGCGGTGCATGCGTTGTACTTACAAAATAGTAGGAAAAATATTCAGCAAAATGGTTGACGCTCCTCTCGACTAGATCCCTGATCTGTTTTGACATCAGCCCGTGGATACACCTGAATACGAAGAGATTGTTCGTGTCAGCTGCGTTGGCTGTGGAGCTTACTCTCTGAGCGCGAGTGTCTTTGAACATGCAAAACTATGTATTTATATTGATTCGATCTGAGCACGCGCCCGACTCGGGTGCTGGTACAATTTAGAGGCTCCGTGTTCATTGTTCACGTGACGTATTCAATCTATTCAGCTGTCACCTTTGTCAAATTGGCCACTAACTACGTATCTACTAGGGGAGCTCAATAAATATGATAATGAGAAGTGAGAATGGGTATGAGGCAATTATGTTTCATTAAATATTTTTTCTATTTTTCGAGGTAGTTACCTTCGAGGTTTATACACATTATATATCTTTTCTCTAAAGCTTAAATTTATGTTTTTTTTAATTTGTAGTGAACCCTTAAAAAATGTGTACTGCGGCGACTACTGTGTCATCATTTTAAATGTAGGGTACCCTGAGATGTTCCTATATCCGAGGAAATAGGTAGAAATCACTAGGAGCCACGTCTAGTGAATATGGTAATGTTCCATTAATTTGCAGCCAGTTTCTTGGTTGGCATCTATCGCAACTCTGGACTTGTGTGTGGAGGGGGGGGGCGCTTTAGCGAGTTTGCCACGCCGTTGCTTACTTTTGCCTCATGCTACTTTGTTATTCGTCCTGCTTACAAAATCCCCACAATAGTGGCTGCATGATTAAGGTATTCGATCGTTATCAGCCCTTGGCTGTGCCAGAAAGAACAGCCCATTATCTTACCGGCGGATTGAATGACCTTAATTTTTTTCGGACTTGGCCACGACGGTCTCTTCCAAGTCATGGACTGTTTTTTCGTTTCCGCGTCATAATTCTAAAGCCATGTTTCGTCCATAGTTTTGAATCTAGCCAAAAATTGGTCGAGATCTTGTTGTAACAAACCCAGGTTTGTAAAATTCACAGTCTCGTTTGTTTCTGCGCGTCACAAAGCATTCCGGGCTTCCGGGCACGCAGCGCGCTGGCACTGTACATATCCAAATGGTTGTCTAAAACATTAAGGACACTTCCTATAGGAATCTTCATTTCTTTTGCTATAAAACAAACAGTAACCCGACAATCCGCCAAGACAAATTTTTCAACTGTTTTAATCATTTTTGTTGAATCACAACCGATGTAGGGCGTCCCATGCGGGGGTCGTCGTTAATGGAAGTTCTTCCTGCTTGAACTCAGCACACCACGCGCAACCGTAGGATATGGATCCCTAATGTTGCTCGTCGTGGCCTAGCACATAAGACGTCCGGTGTATTCGTGTTGAGCGATGCATCGGTGTTCGAATCTCAGGTGGGTGCCAGTTTTTCTAATGAAATACGTACTTGACAAATGTTTACGATTGACTTCCACGGCGAAGGTATAACATCGTGTAATAAAAATCAAACCCGCACAATTATAATTTGCGTAATTACTGGTGGTAGGACCTCTTGTGAGTCCGCACGGGTGGGTACCACCACCCTGCCTATTTCTGCCGAGAAGCGGTTTGAAGGGTGGGGCAGCCGTTGTAACTATACTTGAGACCTTAGAACTTATATCTCAAGGTGGGTGGCGCATTTACGTTGCGGATGTCTATGGGCTCCAGTAACCACTTAACAGCAGGTGGGCTGTGACCTCGTTCACCCATCTAAACAATCAAAAATAAAAATAAGTATTGATTTACCAGGACTTCCTTGACCGCTTCAACTTGCGCTTGAGATTAGCGAACTCCTGAGCGCCAAGAACGCTTCAATCTGCGCCTACTATAGGCATCTTACCGAGGATAATCGTATTCGAATGCGTGATCTACAACGCGACGTGAAGTCTCACATCGCCGAAGTCCGAGATGCCAGTTGGTCTAATTTCTTAGAAGGACTTACGTCCTCCCATCGATCTTACTAGCGCTTAGTTCGTACTCTCAAATCGGGTACGATAGTCACTATGCCTCTCCTCGTAGGCCCCCTAGGCTGAGTCACGTCGTACGATGACGACCAAAAAGCAGAGCTACTGACCGATACATATTAAACCCAGTGCAACCCCAGCACTCAATCTGCGGACTCTGTTCATGTAGAATTAATAGTTAGTGAGGTCGAACGCAGAAACTCCTTGCTACCCTCGGACGCGTTAGCACCCGTTACCCCGATGGAAGTTAAAGACTTGATCAAAGATCTACATCCTCGCAAGGCTCCTAGTAATGTTAGTCCCTTATCGACTGTAATGACATCCCGATATAATATAAAATATATTCACGTTTAGCTTAAGGAATTATTGATAAGGCTGTATATCTCTCGGTTATGTAGAGCCTTGGCATTCAACACACTACGACCCCCACATTTCTGAGGAATATAAAACCTCATCATAGATTATAATTTGCGTAATTACTGGTGGTAGGACCTCTTGTGAGTCCGCGCGTGTGGGTACCACCGCCCTGCCTATTTCTACCGTGAAGCAGTAATGCGTTTCGGTTTGAAGGGTCGGGTAGCCGTTGTAACTATACTGAGACCTTAGAACTTGTATCTCAAGGTGGGTGGCGCATTTACGTTGTGGATGTCTATGGGCTCCAGTAACCACTTAAGAACAGGTGGGCTGTGAGCTCGTCCACCCATCTAAGCAATAAAAAAAAAAAAATGAGCGTGGATGATGCAGTCTATACGCGGTTAATAATCGTTTGACTTTTCTGGTGCATCTTAGTATGCCAAAGGAATATGCGAGGCATGATCCAACCATTAAACGCTCGAATCTTGTTTCCATCTGATAAATGGCTTTTTTTAAGCCTTTGTAAGGCGACCAAAGAACCGATCTCTAAACGTTGTTTGTTATCTGCATCCACAATATTCACCACTTCGAACATACCGAGATATTGAACCAATTTGTATGTTTCCCATTTGCAACAAAAGATTTGAGGAGCACACTATAGTTAAGTTGTAAGCAATCTGCGTTTATAACTTTATCTCTCTGTACATCTATGAACGCACATTTATCAACCTCAAATTCCATCTCAATTGCCTTATTAAGTTGTCGGTTATTTGAAGTAAACTATTAGTTATGGTTATTTGGGAAGCAAATAATTTGAGATCATCCATGAGCAAAAGACATGATATTATAGTCTCAGCTTCTCTGCGAAGTTCACAGCCTAGCGTTGAATCTTTAAGTAATGTTAAGTAAAGGATTAAGCGCCAAACAAAACTACAAAGGGCTCAGACTGTCGCCCTGAAAGATGCCCCGCTTAATCCTTATTAAATTCGGGGCAGCAGAAGAAGTCATCTGACCTGGTTGACCAAGAAACAATAATGCCAGTATTATAATTGTTTTCTTTCCAATGAGAATGTATTACATTATCACTATTTATTGAACACCCCTCGTAGTTAATGAACGACGCCCGAACTAATGACGCGAGGAACTGACTTGAAGAACTGCTCCACTTGGAAGGTCGATCCTCGTTTCTTGTTGGGCACGTAGACGGCCCAGTGACGACGCATCTTGATCATGGTGTCGGCCGCGTCTATCAGCCAGTTGTCGAGCAGCTCGGCTCTGGTCTCCGCGCACAGCTTGTTGAGCCGCTCCGTCAGCTCCGCAGGATATTGGGGGAAGGGTGCGTCTGCCTGCATATCCTTCATATTGCAGATCAACATGTTCTGGTACCTTGTAATAATAGAGGGCAATTAAAATTATCGGAGATCTATGCTAAATGATAATCAATGTTGATGACTGCGATCGATACTTTTCATTCCATATCCTCTTGAGTTCAATGACGATGGGGTTCCCCTCGTAGAAGCGGTAGGCCATGGCGTGCTTGGCTCGCACGAGAGCGCAGTGCCAGGGCACGGGCGCGCGCACCACCAGCGCCGGCCACAGCGGCGGCAGGAACGCGATGCCGAGCCGCTCGCGCTCTCCCGGCTCCTCCAGTATGTACGACAGGAGACATCTTCAAACCAATTATTAATTTCTAAGTAACATTTTGGAGATGTTTAACAACGGCGGGATGGTCTTCCACCTCGCGGGTGATATTGCTCGGTAGACCGACGGTCCGAATGCTGTTATTCAGAACTTGTAGATCCGAAGACTTCATTTGAAAATGTCGTAGGCACACACACAAATTTATCGGAACGTAACGTAAGCGGGCGTTAGTCGATGCGGGTAGGCTCTGACTGAAGTCGCGGTGCTGTGCGCGGACGACGACGTATCGGCCCGACGTCACAGCAAACCGGTTTTGGGTGCGTGTGTCCAATGTAGTCGACTGGTGCCCATCGATAGGGCTGAAATTTGTGTCGGAATAAAATGTAATGTGGTGTATGTAAATGCGTACCAGTTGTGTGTAAGTGTTTATGTGGGAGTAGCCCACAACGTCATCACCTAAATACAGGCTGTACTCAAGTTTATGAATATGTCTGAAATTACCTCTTCATTGCCATTACAAAAAACTCGTTAATTTCAGCCTCAGTCTGCCGCACACACGCCTGGTACGTCAGGGAGAGGAGTCGTCTCTTGATGGCAGCGGTTTGTTCGTCGACTCTTCGTCTGGCGCGGGTGTACAGCTCGCGAGGGAACTCCGGGATGTGTCGCCCGGACAGGGACTGCAACACGCAGACTGGTCACGGACGCCGCGGGACTCTCGACTCATAATGATAGAGGTTTTAAAACGTACTACATTTAAATAATACTGAATTCGTTTCAAGTGATCGGGATGCAGGGGTCTATATTGCTCCTCTTCCGTAACTCTNTCTTCGTCTGGCGCGGGTGTACAGCTCGCGAGGGAACTCCGGGATGTGTCGCCCGGACAGGGACTGCAACACGCAGACTGGTCACGGACGCCGCGGGACTCTCGACTCATAATGATAGAGGTTTTAAAACGTACTACATTTAAATAATACTGAATTCGTTTCAAGTGATCGGGATGCAGGGGTCTATATTGCTCCTCTTCCGTAACTCTCAGCATCTCGTCCTTCTGTTGGTCAGGGTCCCGCGGTGGCTCGAGCTGCAGCCGGGCCAGGCGCCTGCAACACACCGGTACGCATGCAGCCCCCCGCCCCCCGCCCCGCCCCCCGCCCCGCGCCCCGCCCCGCGCGCGCGGCAGGGCGTCCAGGGAACGATGAACATACTTTTGCAGCGCCTCCCGAGCAGCTTTCTCAGCTTCCTCTTTTTCTTTTTTTCTCATTTCTATTCTTCTTCTCTTCGCTTCCGCAGCTGCAGCCTTCTTCCTTTCGTATGCGCCAGACACCAGATCTTCGAGGAGGACGTGTCCTGTGTAAATCATCAGTTACAAGGATGCATTACAATCTATTTATTTATTAACTAGCCTTTGCCCGCGACTCCGTCCGCGTGGAATAGTTACTTTGGCATACGCTAAATTTTACCCCCCACTTCATTTACGTAGAAAGTGAAAATATTTTTGAATAATAGAATGTTAAGGAGCTATTCTTAAATACCTTATGGTACCTTAGTACCAAAATCACGCTTTTTAACCGACTTCAAAAGAGGAAGCTATCAATTCGACCATAATTTTTTATCTATGTATGTTCACCGATTTCTCGAGAATGCTTGAACCGATTCTGATAATTCTTTTTCTTTTTTTGTTCGAAAGGGTAGACTTCCCGAATGGTCCTGTAATCATCAAGATCTGATGATGGGATCCTAGAGAAATCCATAAAAATCTATAATTGTCAAAGCCTATCTAGAAGTGATTTGGGTGTTTCAATGTTGTAATTGTTTGGATAGAGATTAATATCATCTTTACAAAAACACCTTTACAAATAATGCTTTATTTTAGAACTTGGTTAGCATAAGAAACGTTATAGTGAGCCAACCTTTAAAAATAGGCATATGCTGTTGCGGACTTTTTTTAAAACTTTTAAAGGGGAACGATGTTGTCATACATTATTTTAGCGAAACTAACCGTTTCCGTAGCGCACGCAGCGGAAGCTCTCAAAAGGGAAAAATACACCGATTTTGAAACATTCTTTATTGGTACCCCGTTCGTATTAGTCTAAGCGTGATGTTATATAGCCTATAGCCTTCCTCGATAAATGGGCTATCTAACGCTGAAATAATTATTCAAATCGGACGAGTAGTTCCTGAGATTAGCGCGTTCAAACAAACAAACTCTTCAGCTTTATAATACTAGTATAGATAAACGTACTAAAAATATTACTCGTAACATTTCCAAACAACCTTCGTTAAATTATACATTATAACGTTTAAAGACATTACAGAAAGGAAAGCACAGCAGTCACATCCATTGAAATATGGATTAATTACAATTTAAAAATTAGACCGAGAAGTAAGCCTAAAATTAGGAAAATAAATTATTCAATTTAGTAAAATCAAAATTAATAAACAATAAAACCAATAGTCGAGCTGATCATTAATTAAAAAACAATTTTTATTTTAAATAATTTGTTAAAAGGTTTTTTACTGGTGGTAGGACCTCTTGTGGGTTCGCACGGGTAGGTACCACCACCCTGCCGTGAAGCAGTAATGTGTTTCGGTTTAAAGGGCGGGGCAGCCGTTGTAACTATACTGAGATCTTAGAAGTGATATCTCAAGGTGGGTGACGCATTTATGTCGTAGATGTCTATGGGCTCCAGTAACCAAGAACAGTCATCTGTAATTGTTATAATCTTAAATGAAGTCAAAGCTATCGAAAGTATTTGAGATCTCCGAGGTGTATTCTTCGGGACAACACTGCATAGTATACGCATATCTTGTCCGGACCGGAGTGCGAACCTCCTTCGAAACGTGGGGCCCAGCGACCCACCCACTCAACTACTTCCCTGCACTCTCGGCCGCCGCCACCGCCGCCGCCGCCGCCGCGCCGTGGAGCCGGACTATTCAATGGGCACCACACGATGGCGTGCACTGTTATACTCACCAACTACTTATAACATTTAGTTTAACGCCCAGAGTTAAAGTACACCAGTTCCTCCGTTTATTATTTTCCTCAGAAATAATAGATCAGTAAGGTACGTCGTCTGTCTTCAAGGATAAGCACAACGAAACGCCTCTCGCTCTGGACGCGCCTGCGGACCTGCAGGCACGTCTAGCGGGACGGGTTTGATGAATTCAGTTCTGTTTATGTGACCAGTGTCGTGTGGCGACCGGACACGAGAACAGTACCGACCACGGCATCGGCATCGCGGTGTGTGCGTGACCGCGAAGTGCTGGTGTGGGATCGCACAACACTCCCAGCTCTCTAGACTGCTGCTCTTTCACAGATAGCTCCGTCTATTTTGTAGTTCATGAATAGGTGTACTTTATTTTATTTTAACGCGAGTGAGACTGAATGAGTGAGACCTATGTGCCATGAAATATGCAAACGCTTAGTTATATCAAATCTGCATGAGATAATCAAAAGCATTCTAAGGATCATTTATAGAGAGCAAGAGAAGAGAGAGTCCCCTATTGGAGGGACCGAGGGACGCTTGAGAATTACATAAATACAAAACTACGAGAAGACTCGTTATCAGTTAGAAGCTCGTACGATATTTTTGTGTTATTTAGAAATTGTAATATTTGATAAGCTATTAGTGTAACTATAACGTATATATATAAATATCGGTTACGCTTAATTTAATTAATAATTTTAATTTTAACAGAAAGTGAGTAGTGTACCAGTAGCTACGGGAGCGACTCGTTTAGCTTTTGACTCGACGAAGTAAAACTGCGAGATTGCTCAGGGTAGTCTGTGTGCCTACCTCTCTATGTACCTAGTCTTGCCATAAATACTGAGACAAAGGAAAAAAAATGTCTATTGCAAATAACATTTATTACTTTTACAGTGTGTTAGTTTAATACATAAATATAAAACAATTTAAAGTATAAAAAGCTTATTCGAAGTGGTCTCCATTGGCTGCAATACAGTCCTTTAAACGTTGAGGCCAGTTATCAATAGAAGCACGCACTCTTTCCATGGGAAAATTTTTCACTGCCAATCGTACGGATTGTTNGTCCTTTAAACGTTGAGGCCAGTTATCAATAGAAGCACGCACTCTTTCCATGGGAAAATTTTTCACTGCCAATCGTACGGATTGTTTTAGGGACTCCAAATTATCATGGCGTTTAGAGCAAGCCGTACTCTCTAAAACTGACCATAAATCATAATCCAGCGGATTAAGATCGGGACTAGACGACGGCCAGTCTTCAGCTCTGATGAAGACCGAAACGTTCGTTTCCAACCAAGACTGCGCAGACCGAGCTTTGTGACCTGGCGCCGAGTCTTGCTGGAAGGACCATTCCTGATTATTGAGCATTGTGTAGTTAAGGGGCTTCACTACCTTCTCCAGAATGGTATCTTGATACACTTGTGCCGATGTTTTGATACCTTTTTCACAAAAGTATGGCCCAGTCACTCCTTCATAGCTAATACCCCACCAAACCATCACTGAAGTCGGATAGTGCCCACGTTGCACTCTGTCGACTAATCGGGAAGCTTCCTTAGAGCTTTGAGCATAAATACGGTCATTATGTTTGTTAAAATGTTGCTCAATTGTAAAACAATTTCTCATCCGTAAACAAATTTTTTCTATGACCTGCCTTTGCGTACCGCTTCATTAGTTGTTTCGATTTTACCACCTTATTCTCTTTTAAATTATCAGTTAAGAAATGACCAGTACGTCTCTTATAGGCTGCAAGTCCTAAGTCATCTTTTAAAATACGCGACATGGTTCTAGGTGCTATCTTCATCTCCCAAGATAAAATCTTTTGCTTTCGGACAGGATTTCTTCGAATTCTTTCCCTTACCGCTTTGACCACCTTTTTCGTACGAACACTACGTGGACGGCCAGATCTTTTTCTGTCACAAACAGAGGAGGTCTCATTGCACCTATTAATAGCCCGGTACACAAACATTTTACTAATACCAAGCGTATGGAGAATTTTAAAAGTTGCATTTGGCTCCATACCTACTTTGTGTAATGCAATCACAGCGATTCGGTTCTCTTTATCACCCCACTCCATTTTAATATCGCAAAATATTGTATAATGTATTGGCGCCAAAATGAGAAAACTCAATGAGCAATTATATAAAAATGACAGATTCCAAATTCAAATGTAATATTTTGTTTATTTTTAATTGTAACAGTATTTATGGCCAGACTAAGTATAATACTTGCACGAACCTTGCGCTCGATTGTAGAGCTAGTAAAAGTGAAGTTGCGAAACTGTCACCAGTCACCCCATCACCTTTCGGTAGTTTATGTTTTTTCTTTTCCCTTTCGATGGCTTGTAGGCGTTCCCTCTCCCTCTCGGGCCAAGGTTTGAGCGGCGGGAACTGCAGCTCTCCGCCGGGTCCGAGCGGCCCGTACAGCGCGGGCGGCTCCCGTCGCCGGGGCGGCATGCTCGCCGCGCGCAGCCCCCGCGCCCCCGCCGAGTAGCTGTTACCTGCCGACGCGACGCGCGCAATGTGCTCACTGTAATACAGCCTGCTTACCGGCCCGCGGCCCGCGCTAACCGCTTGAGAAAGAGTAGGGCGTGCTGTCGACGTATCTATGCAATAAAAATACTCGAGTCGATAGTCGAAATAGTCGAGTCGTGAACTCGAGTTTTTATAATGATATTATGAAGACAAAGTTACAATTATGCACGTATCATTAATGCAATCTACTTTTTCTTTTACAATTTCTGGCGTTTTCCGATGACGTGACTCGTCAGTGGTGACGACATAGAGACATGAGAAGACATGGCAGAGTACATTTACGTGTTATGTTATAATTCAGGAGGCTATGACGTCACGACGAGCCCAGACTTCGTGACCGCCGCGAGGGGTCGAGCGTCGTGAGGATGCTAAGTTTGTTACCGATGGAGTCAACAGGTTTAGTGTGCCGAGAGCTCTCCTTGTAGGGCACGCCGCGGGTCCACGACCGAGCCTGCATCAGCGGCGGGAACTCGCTGCATCCTCCCTCCCCTTCACCTGCGAGCACGGGTAGGAAATGTAAAACGTCGAAGTCGTAGCCTAAAGAATAAGACGGCCGTTTTGTTCTCATCGAGCCACTCGACTGCGCCGTTGTTCGGATCCCGCGGGCAGGTGCCAACTTGTCATTTCTTTTTCCTTTTTTTTCGGGCAGCGGCCCGAACCCGCTGCATGCGTCGGCGCCCAGGGAGTACGCGGGGTATGTGGGACTTGACTATGTGTGGTTTGCAGATGCTGGCAGCAGACCCCGGGCCCAATGATGTTTTTAGGACCCTACCACACCCAACGACTCCCCGTGCACTCTCTCACCCAACGTCCGATCTCTGCCAAGAGTCAGATCCTGGTTTTTTTTTTTTTTTATTGCCTTTGTAGGCAGACGGGCATACGGCCCACCTGATGGTGAGTGGTTACCGTCGCCCATGGACTTCAGCAATGCCAGGGGCATAGCCAAGCCGCTGCCTACCATAGAGGGGTATATATAATAGAGGGGTCCCCGTGGTACAGTGGCCCGTCAGGCCGCCCGGGCGATGCCGCTGGTGTTCCGGAATACACAACTGGGTCAGAACGGCCGGAACAGCCGGGTCGGAACGCGAGACATCACCGACAGGGTTGCTCTTCCACAGTACGTCTGGTGTACGTCCTCTTCGTACCAGCGCGCTAGAGTGACGGTAGCGTGTGGGACAGCCTCAAACCTTCATGTCACCCCCTGACTATCGAGGAAGCTGCCTAAAGGTACCAACTCTCCCAAGGTAATACGCTTCTAACTCATTTGCACGAACGACTCCCAAAATGAAGTAATACTCGCAGCATTTTGTTGTAAACACTAAATCGCATAAATGTTCTATTCCTTATGACGGCGATTAACACACGTTCGCTCTCAACTCAGTTAACTCACCTTCAGGGTAGTAGTTGGAGGCTGCTCTGGCGATCCCGGTACCGCGCCTCCTGCGCTCCGCATCCCCTGCATCCCCTCCTTGCATGTCGTCCCTTCTCACCGTCTCTGGAACACTAAGCACCAAGCATTCAATAAAAATATTAAGTCTGTGAGATATCAGCTAAAGTAATCATTAATCATCGGGTGGCCTATAAGCTCGTCCGCCCTGATCGGAATGACAGAATGGCAGAATGACTGTTTATCAAAACATAATAATCTTACAGAACTGTGATCTTACTGTAGGTACTTACATGTGATGCGGGATACAGTTTGCTCTATTGATATACTTGTCACTGATGGTGATCAAAGATATTGAATACAACGCCGACTGAGTCCTGCCGACCGCTAGCGGGTGAGCAGCACCACCGTATCGTACACGGTAGCGCCTCGTGCCCGTCGGGGACAGGTCAGGACCAGATCAAACTTTACACGCAAACAACGTGGTTGCCATGGTTGTTTCCAAAGAGAATATCACAACCGTCACAGTCGTTGCTAGGCAACCGACTCTCCACCTGATAGCCGTTGACCCGTGTCTGTGGATGATTCATAGATATGTGCCTAACCCAATTAATATTTAATATTATAGTAATAGAAGTTACAGTATGAAATTGCCGTTTTATTGTAATAGGTACTTCGAATTGACATAGAACCTTCATGGTTTGAGATTTTTGAGTGAAACTTTTTTAAATGGTACCTACCTACGAGTATGAGGTTCTTCTTTTAAACTTTTAAAAAATGTGCAACATTCGATTATCGACTTTCAGTTGTTTTTTTTATTCAGCTTAGACAAGAAAGATGAATACACACTTCGAAAATTCGAGTAATTTTTGAATACGAGTTCCGACGCGAGACTCGCAATATCAATGTTGCGTTTGGAGATGGGACTGCTAATGAACGCACCGTGCGATTTTGGTTTAAACACTTTTGAATTGAAGAACGAACCACGTGGAAGAACTCCCACACATGTGAATAATAATGAATTGAAAAAGATGATAGAAGCCGATCCGAGCCAAACTACCCAGGAATTGGCGGCATGGTTTAACATTACCTTATCAACAATACTGACTCATTTGCGTCGAATCAATAAAATACAAAAAATCGAAAAAATGGGTGCCTCATCATTTGACTGATCTGCAGAAAGAAACGCGTGTTGAAACTTGTGTTGCCTTGTTGAATCGATACAGAAATTAAACAATATTGGATCGAATTTTGACTGTGATGAAAAGTGGATTCTTTACGATAACCGTAAGCGAAAAAAGCAATGGCTGACCCCAGGTCAAACGCCACAGCAGTGTCCTAAAGCAAAGCTTACCAATAAAAAGATAATGGTAACTGTTTGGTGATCTCAGCGTGGTGTTACTCACAATAGATTTCTCCGATCTGGTCGTTTTTTTCGTGATTTGGAATTGTAATTGGAAATGTAAATTGTAAATTGTTTAAACAATTTTCTACGTGATAAAAAGTTTTCTTCCCAGGAGACAGTACAAAATTCTTTTACACAGTTTGTAGTGCCTAGATCACCAGGGTTATATCACAAATGCATAAATGACCTTCCTATTAGATGGCAGCAATGTATAGATAATAATTTTAGACATTTTGATTAAATAAATATGTTAAATGAAAAAAATAACGAATTTCAATTTTTCAATACATCGGCATTCAATTTTCAATACATCGGCAATTTCATACTTTAACCCAGTGTTCCCAGTGGCGGTCAAATATTATGCTATATATTGTACGAGTAATATGTCTTAGGTGTTTTACTGGTGGTAGGACCTCGTGTGAGCCCGCACGGGTAGGTACCACCACGCTGCCTATTTCTGCCGAGAAGCCGTAATGTGTTTCGGTTTAAAGGGTGAGGCAGCCGTTGTAACTATACTGTGACCTTAGAAGTCTTATAGCAATAAAAACATAATAAAAAACCCTGACTTTTTTTTATTTATTTTTTTATTGCCTAGATGTGTGGACGAGCTCACAGCCCACCTGGTGTTAAGTGGTTACTGGAACCCATAGACATCTACAACGTAAATGCGCCACACACCTTGAGATAGAAGTTCTAAGGTCTCAGTATAGTTACAACGGCTGCCCCATCCTTCAAACCGAAACGCATTGCAGCTTCACGGCAGAAATAGGCGGGGCGGTGGTACCTACCCGTGCGGACTCACAAGAGGTCCTACCACCATTAATTACGCAAATTATAATTTTGCGGGTTTGATTTTTATTACACGATGTTATACCTTCACCGTGGAAGTCAATCGTGAACAATTGTTAAGTACGTATTTCATTAGAAAAATTGGTGCCCGCCTGTGGGATACGAACACCGTTGCATCGCTACGAATGCACCGGACATTTTATCCTTTAGGCCACGACGACTTATATTATATTATATTTCCGATGAGGGCCGGTCGCGCACGCAAGTCGTCTCGGTAACGAGCACCGCGAGCTATACCACACCGCGAACGGGTGGGTTACTGATGGCTCGGAAGCCTTGCCAGTTTCAGTTCACCAGGACAGGTGGGCGAGCACGGGCTCAGCTGGGAGGGATGGGGTTTGCTAACAGCTGTCCGAGCGCCTGCGGAGAAGACCTAATAATAGCTCGAGGACAGCTGTTTCGCGAATGGATCCACTACCGGATCGGAATCGCGACCCGCTGAGAAGATCCGGTGAGAGACTCAACGGGCTGATGCATGGGTTAGGTTTCACGTACGAGTACGGTTACCAGGGTCTTTAAGCCTGCTCCTAGTACTAGAGCGTAAGGCGTCAAATGATAGAGATAATGGATCTGATAGATCCGTCAGTACGTGGGACCGAATGTCGTTGTTCGGAATTAGTATATAATATTACTATGTATGCAAGCTTATCTTGAAAATGTCGTAAGCGAGATTGAGGCATCTGTTAATGTGTTGTGTTCTATGATGGTTACGCGCCGCCACACTGTGGAGTTGAGAACGGCCGAGCGGCGACGACACGTCCACACATGTCCCGGCCCCGTGCCCCGGCGCCGCGAGGAGGGCTGTCGTGTAAATGTACTACTGATCGTTGGATTATTCGCGGACATTAGTGTATCGTTTCTGAACGAGCGTGCTGACTAACTATTTGTGTAGGTATTATTGATTTTTTATCGATATTTTCTTCACAACTTGAGTAGTACTTCCCGTTTAGAACGCGTAATGCGTAAGAATGCGTACTTCAGTAAGCATTCCAACACAAGAGTATGTAGTAACTTGCGATAATAAAACACTGAGAATTTGAAAGAGACAAAATTATACAAGTTTTCAGTTCCAATGAAACTGAAGTTATAGGTGAGATCCAGGAGTGCAGCGGGGGGGAGCGGGGGAGGGGGGCTCGCACTCCAGATATAGACCCGGGTGTGGCCGCCGGCTCGGCACGAGTTACTTCGCTCTTTACGACTCCATAGATTAACGCACGTGAAAATAAAAAGTCCATGCGTCGTTCGTCCCGTATACCGCGTCAGTCTACATACATATCTACTCCGTTATTTAGTCATTCATATTCCGATAACAGCGTCCGTGGGTGTAGTTTCACAATCTCGTAAGCTTCACAATACATTGTACGTAATGATAATATATATTGTAAACGTCGCTGATACGCGAGTAGTGTGTTGTGTCGCTTCCTGTCGCTGACCGCTACTGCAGTGGTTACTGCGTCACTAGTCACTAGTCCGCGGGATGTGGTCGCGGCGGGGCCGGGCGCGCGCGGGCTGGCTGGCGGCGGCGCTGGCGGCGGTGCTGCTGGTGCACGCGGCACGACGCCCGGCGCAGCACGAGACACTCGTCTATCTGCCTGATGCTTATCCGGCGCACGTTGCACACCTTCTTGCTGACTTCTCCCACCGACATCATCAGTGAGTACACTTACACACGTCCAGTGAAAAGACCGCCACTGGTTGCTATTCCGCTGAGCGCGCGGATATCTGTTCCAGAGTGGACTGGGTGCTGGAGGAGGAGCAGAACAACTTGACGTGGTGGCGATATACGGTGCGGTACGAGTGCGGCGCCCGCTGCCAGGGCGGGGCCACAGTGCAGGCGGAGGCGGACTCGCCGGCGCGCGGCCACCACCTCGTGCACGAGCTGGACCGGCGCTGCGAGCCCCTGCTGCCGCTGCTGCCGTGGCCCACGTCATGCGGTCTCTATCCGCCTTTTTTATTATTGGTCTAAATGGGCAGACTAGCTCACGGTCTACTAGACGTAAGATAAGGAGTTCATGCCACCAACTTTGAGAAGATCGAATTTTCAAGTGTACATATGTATTGCCCCATCCAAGCATCTCTGCTTCACGGAATAAGTAGGCAAGATAATGGTGCCGTACCTGAGCGGGCCTGCAGTATGTCTGTTCAGTACGCATGGCATTGTGGGAGCCAAGGTTTGTGAATCGTTGTGTTGCGGCGTGGCACAGTTGAACAATCACCCGCACCGCCCCAGCCAAACCAATCGATTCACGTTCAGGACTTTACCAGCAACGTATCCTAGCCCATGGGCATACGTCTAAGATTCGGACATGAGAGACTGGACCGGATCCACGAGGCCTGCATGCGTTTTGTTTCCGCTTGCGAATAATTTCGTTTGCAATGTCTCTCTCTCCATGAACAATTTAGCCCTTGTCTATAGTCGTTTTCTCTAAACATCAATTTCTGAATTATTATTTTTTTGGCATATATGTACGTACTTATATATATACCTATCGTACAAAAATTTTGAATTTAAATAATTTCATGAAATACATTTTGTGATAGTTTAAATTGATTAAAATTTAATAAATCACACATCCACATTAAATAAATTAGTATAATAAGTGTAAGATTGGTAAGAACGGAACATATGAAAAGAGTGTGGAACGGAGCGTTACAATGTGAGTGAGAGAGAACGGTAACAAAGGGAAAAGAGAAAGACAGAGAAAAGGAAGATGGCGAAGACGGTTAAAAAATGAGCAAGGCGTAATAAAGTGTGAATTAATTTTTAAATTATTAATAAAACAGAAGTTGTTGTAGTTTGTATAGAATACATATTGTGTTTGGCTGTTGTGTTGATATTGATTCTATTCTGTTGGGTAGAGGTGACGGAGACTGTGCATCGCGTGCGGGGCGAGGGGGCGGGGGCGGCGCTGGAGCAGCGCAGCACGGCGCGGTGCGGGGCGCTGCGGACTCTAGCGGGCTCGTGCGCCGCCAGCCTGCGGGACGACGCCGCCGCCAGGCTGGACGCGCTGCGCAGAGCTCTGCAACGACGCTCGCCGCACAACTGACGACGCACTGTGCCTACTAGTTGCTTTACAAGGTCTCCGTTCGAGGTCAAATCTTGGACATTATGCTTATAGTCTAAGATCCCGCTGCAGGTTGGTGTGCTCATCGACTTTTTGTTTAAAACCAAATTTTTATGTTTATTTATAATTAAGAGAATATATATTTATTAGGGTGCCTATCAAAATTGGGCCGCCATTATTTTTAATTAAATTATTTTTAATTGATTTTTGGTAAAAAATTTCGTTTATTTATTTTTTAAATAAAATAACGTCTACATCACGGTAATTAGTATGAAGATTCTAAAAAATCACGGTTGCCGTTGCGCACCTGGCCGCACCCCTTTGCAGCCAGGTGTAAACAGGTATGATTTCGATAAATTTATACGTTTATAACCTATTTTCATTAATTATATATCAAATTGAAGCTAATTTTTTTTTATTAATTATCATATATGGTTGCCTAATTAAATCTGGCCGCAAATAAGGGTTGCTGGCTGTTAAAGATGATAAATATTTAAAGTAGAGTAAAAGAGAGTTAACGCGTAACATCATTTGTCAGACGAGGATAGCGATTGCCGGCTGTGCGACTCCACAGTTTGTTGGACAAACTCCTCCTGTGAAACTCCTCCTCCAGAAATGACTCCATGATCGTACTCCAGGGGATCGTGTTGAAGGCGTTGGCTATATCGATTGACACAGCCAATAGCACGCCCCCCCCCAGAGCACGCCTGGTCGGTAAGGTCACGGACGCGCAAGACCGCGTCCACGGTCGACCGACCTCTCCGGAAGCCAAATTGGTTGGACGCTAGATTCGGCCCAATATTCTCCAGGTGCTGAACAAGACGCCCGGCAACGATACGCTCAAGGAGCTTACCGGCCTCGTCCAACACGACTATCGGGCGATACCCGG